CGTGACCATTGTGCGCACGCCACGTGACCATTGTGCACACGCCACGTGACCATTGTGTGCACGCCACGTGACCATTGTGTGCACGCCACGTGACCATTGTGCACTGCCTGTGCCGCGGTGGCTATGAGATGTTAACTACCTCGCCTGGTGTGCGGGAGGTCGTGGGTTCGATCCCGACCCTGACGCCTCCTCCTGCTGCTGCTGCTGTATATTTTGAGTCTGCGTGTCTCTTTCTATCCCCGTGGTCGCGTGGATTGTCTCCGGTTCTCCCCTCCACATTTAGAATCGCCACGCGTTTCGAGTATTTGGCTGCTATAAATTTCCACGCGATGAGCCACTTCGTTGAGCTTTCATTTGTGGCCAGATCGCTATACAGCTCAGTGGGCCTTACCTGGTAAAATGAACATGTTTTAATAGTTGAGTTTGCGTGGTTGTGCCGTGTGACTGTCTTCCGTGTCGCGCTCGTTCCTTCGTGCATGTGGTGTGGTGTTTGGTGATGATATTGGCACTTACCGGCGTGTGTGTGTGTGTGCTGCCCCTAGTGAGTGTGTGTGTGTGCTGCCCCTAGTGTGTGTGTGTGCTGCCCCTAGTGAGTGTGTGTGTGAGTGCTGCCCCTAGTGAGTGTGTGTGTGTGTGCTGCCCCTAGTGAGTGTGTGTGTGTGCTGCCCCTAGTGAGTGTGTGTGCTGCCCCTAGTGAGTGTGTGCTGCCCATAGTGAGTGTGTGTGTGTGTGTGCTACTCCTAGTGAGTGTGTGTGTGCTGCCCCTAGTGTGTGTGTGTGTGTGTGTGCTGCCCCTAGTGAGTGTGTGCTGCCCCTAGTGAGTGTGTGTGTGTGCTGCCCCTAGTGTGTGTGTGTGTGCTGCCCCAAGTGATTGTGTGTGTGCTGCCCCTAGTGAGTGTGTGTGTGTGTGCTGCCCCTAGTGAGTGTGTGTGTGCTGCCCCTAGTGTGTGTGTGTGTGCTGCCCCTAGTGAGTGTGTATGTGTGTGCTGCCCCTAGTGAGTGTGTGTGTGTGTGCTGCCCCTAGTGAGTGTGTGTGTACTGCCCCTAGTGAGTGTGTGTGTGTGTGCTGCCCCTAGTGAGTGTGTGTGTGTGAGTGCTGCCCCTAGTGAGTGTGTGCTGCCCCTAGTGAGTGCGTGTGTGTGCTGCCCCTAGTGAGTGTGTGTGTGCTACTTCTAGTGTGTGTGTGTGTGCTACTTCTAGTGTGTGTGTGTGCTACTCCTAGTGAGTGTGTGTGTGTGTGCTGCCCCTAGTGAGTGTGTGTGTGTGTGTACTGCCCCTAGTGAGTGTGTGTGTGTACTGCCCCTAGTGAGTGTGTGTGTGCTGCCCCTAGTGAGTGTGTGTGTGTGTACTGCCCCTAGTGAGTGTGTCTGTGTGTACTGCCCCTAGTGAGTGTGTCTGTGTGTACTGCCCCTAGTGAGTGTGTGTGTGTACTGCCCCTAGTGAGTGTGTGTGTACTACCCCTAGTGAGTGTGTGCTGCCCCTAGTGAGTGTGTGTGTGCTGCCCCTAGTGAGTGTGTGTGTGTGTACTGCCCCTAGTGAGTGTGTTTGTGTACTGCCCCTAGTGAGTGTGTCTGTGTGTACTGCCCCTAGTGAGTGTGTGTGTGTGTGTACTGCCCCTAGTGAGTGTGTGTGTGTACTGCCCCTAGTGAGTGTGTGTGTGTACTGCCCCTAGTGAGTGTGTGCTGCCCCTAGTGAGTGTGTGTGTACTGCCCCTAGAGAGTGTGTGTGTGCTGCCCCTAGAGAGTGTGTGTGCTGCCCCTAGTGAGTGTGTGTGTGTATGCTGCCCCTAGTGAGTGTGTGTGTGCTGCCCCTAGTGAGTGTGTGTGTGTGTGCTGCCCCTAGTGAGTGTGTGTGCTGCCCCTAGTGAGTGTGTGTGTGTGCTGCCCCTAGTGAGTGTGTGTGTACTGCCCCTAGTGAGTGTGTGTGTGTGCTGCCCCTAGTGAGTGTGTGTGTGTGCTGCCCCTAGTGAGTGTGTGTGCTGCCCCTAGAGAGTGTGTGTGTGTGCTGCCCCTAGAGAGTGTGTGTGTGTGCTGCCCTCCCCAGGCTGCCCCTGTGGAGGCGCATGCCAAGAAGGCGAGCGTGCGTCACAAACTCATCTCCATGACGCTCAAGAAGAAGTCGAAGCTCACGGAGGAGGTAGAGAGGCTCTGTGTGTGAATGCGTGCGAGTGTGTGTGAATGTGTGTGTTTGAATGTGTGTGTGAATGTGTGTGTGTGTGAATGCGTGCGTGTATGTGATTGCGTGCGTGTGAATGCGTGTGCCTGTGAATGCGTGTGCGTGTGAATGTGTGTGCGTGTGAATGTGTGTGTGTGTGAATGTACATGTGTGAATGTGTGTGTGTGAATGCATGCTTACGACCGGCTCCAGTTTAACAGCAGAGGTCTCACTCCGAATCAGTCGAGCGGCAATATATTTTCATTGGTTGCGTAACGCTGTGTGGAAGCTACTTGGTCTGTCGCTCCGCACTAAGCTTCAGGTCTTCTCGGCCACGGTCATTCCCTCCCTTCTCTACGCTTGCGAAACTTGGACCCCCCTAATGGAACATCTTCGCCAGTTAGAAACATTTAGGCTAGCCTGCCTACGACCCATCCTGGGTTTAACCAGGCTGGATTGTGTGAGGAGCTCACAAATCCTTGAAAGATCTGGGCAAGGTCTCATCGGTGAGCTCCTCCGGCAGGCAAGGCTGCGTTGGCTGGGTCATGTAGCCTGCATGCCCAGCCACCGCATGCCTAAACAGCTTTTGTTTGGCTGGATCAAGGGGGCTAAACGGGCGCGGCATGGGCTAGAGAAGAGATGGAGTGATGTGGTACAGGAGGACGTGGAGCTGAGTGGACTTGCCGATGACTGGTACCAGCGGTGTCAAGATTGGCCTCTGTGGAGGAGGCTCGTGAAGGACGCTATTGGGCAGTTGGAGGCAGTTGCCCTCCAACAACAACGGAGGGCGGAGCAACGACGCTCACAACAATGAGCGGGGCGCCGGGTGGCTAAAGCACAGCAGGTTGGCACAGTAGGGGGCACAGGTGGTGCATCAGCCAGTCATCTCAGTCATCTTAGTCAGTCCACCCGTGGCACTTGGGTCTGCCTCGTGACCTGCCAGCGGCCGTTCGACACTTCACGTGGCCTCAAGGTGCACATGGCCTGGCACAAGCCTCGTGGTGACGTCACCGCCACTTAGTGGCGAATGGCGGTTGTTGTTGCGTGTGTGAATGCGTGTGTGTAAATGCGTGCGTGTGTGTGTGAATGCGTGTGTGTGAATGTGTGCATCTGTGTGTGTGTGAATGTGTGTGTGTGAATGCGTGTGTGTGAATGCGTGCGTGTGTGTGAATACGTGTGTGTGCATCTGTGTGTGTGTGAATGTCTTTGTTTGTGAATGTGTGTGTGTGAATGCGTGTGTGTGAATGTGTGTGTGCGTGCGTGGGGAGCGGTGGTGTAGCGGTTAGCGCGATGCGGCCAACACCATTGACGATTATCTGAATCGGTCCTCGACCTGCCCTAGGTCGACTTAGCCTCAAATGAGTACCTGGGTGGGGTGTGTAAAAAACATCACCACTGGGGAGACAAAGGCGGCCGGGCGTGGTGTTGGCCACCCACTCGCCTCGTGAACCGTGCCGGCCTTCACAGGCACTACTCGCTGACAGCACTTGCCCCAACAGTCTGTGAAGGCTACACGGGGGGGGGGGGGTTGGGGTGTATCTTTGTCTTTGTAGGTGACCAAGAGGCTGAGCGACGTGGAGGGCCTCGTGCACGGGAACTCGATGCTGGAGGACCGCCCCACCTCCAACCTCGAGAAGCTTCACTTCATCATCGGCAACGGCATCCTTCGCCCGGGCATCCGGTACGGCTCTCACCGCGCGTCCCTCTCTCCGGCAGCCACGGTCGCCAGCCTCATCAACCGCACACGGACTCACAGTCGGCCTCGGGACATCCAACGCAGTGTGGCCCCCCACCCCTCCCCCGCGTGCGTCTCCGCAGGGACGAGATCTACTGCCAGATCTGCAAGCAGCTGAACCAGAACCCCTCGCGCAGCAGCCACGCCCGCGGCTGGATCCTCATGTCGCTGTGCGTCGGCTGCTTCTCCCCCTCGCACAAGTTCGTCAAGGTGAGGAGCGCTGAGGAGCGGTGGTGGGAGCAGAGTAGTGGGGAGCGCTGGTGAGCGGCAGGGCGGATGGCACAGATGGCCGCTGCGGGTGCAGCAGGGGGTGGGCTCAGTCCTCGCCACCCCCCAGGGCCCAGCTCTCCGCCACTACCAACCATCAGGTGTGTGCGGTGTGCGCAGTGGACGGACTTGCGTATGAATAGACGAGCGTGTGGGATGCAGCGGGGACTGGAGCGGGGTGGAGACTGCCGCACTGTGCTGTGATTTGTGTCTCCGTACCCACCCCCCGTGCCCCCCCCCCCCAGTATCTGCGTAACTTCATTGGCGAGGGCCCCCCAGGCTACGCTCCGTACTGTGAGGAGCGCCTGCGTCGCACCTTCGCCAACGGGCACCGCACGCAGCCGCCCAGCTGGCTGGAGCTGCAGGTACACGCGCACGACGCCAGCACGCACGCACCCGCACACGCGCACGCACCCACACACGCACCCACAAGCACGCACGCACCCACACACGCACACACGCGCCCACACACCCACACACGCGCACGCACCCACACACGCACCCACACACCCACACATGCACGCATGCACACTGCTCACCAATACCCGTCATTCGCCACTAAGTGGAGGTGTTGTCACCGCCTGTGCCAGGCCAGGTGCACTTTGTGAGACCACGTGAAGTGTCTAAGGCTCGCTGCTGATAGGAGGTCACGGGACAGACCCAGGTGCCATGGGTCGGCTGACTGAGATGACCGGCAGATGCACCACCTGTGCCCCCTACTGTGCCAACCTGCTGTGCTTTAGCCACCCAGCGCTCCGCTCGTTGTTGTAGCGTCGCTCCTCCGCCCTCCGTTGTTGTTGGAGGCCGACTGCCTCCAACTGCCCAGTAGCATCCTTCACGAGCCTCCTCCACAGAGACCGATCTTGACACCGCTGGTACCAGTCATCGGCAAGTCCACTCAGCTCCACGTCCTCCTGTACCACATCACTCCATCTCTTCTCTAGCCCGTGCCGCGCCCGTTTAGCCCCCTCGATCTGGCCGAACAAAAGCTGTTTCGGCATGCGGTGGCTGGGCATGCGAGCTACATGACCCAGCCAACGCAGCCTTGCCTGCCGGAGGAGCTCACCAATGGGACCTTGCCCAGATCTTTCAAGGATTTGTGAGCTCCTCACACAATCCAGCCTGGTTAAACCCAGGATGGATCGTAGGCAGGCTAGCCTAAATGTTTCTAACCGGCGAAGATGTTCCATTAAGGAGGTCTACGTTTCACAAGCTTAGAGAAGGGAGGGAATGACCGTGGCCGAGAAGACCTGAAGCTTAGTGCGGAGCGACAGACCAGGTAGCTTCCACACAGCGTTACACAACCGATGAAAAGATATTGCCGCTCGACTGATTCGGAGTGAGACCTCTGCTGTTAAACTGGAGCCAGTCATAATCACAGTCATAAGCACACTGCCCAGGTATGGGAAACTCTCCACTCTCTCCACAACTGCCCCATCACTGATTGGGAGTTGTGGGGGTGGAGTGTCCGATGGTACAAAATACCCAGGCAGGTGCTTAGTTTTGGTGGGGCTGATGGTACGGCCCCATCTCTTAGTGGCACGCTCCAGTCTCAGCAGCAGCGTCTCCAACTCCTCCTCTGAATGAGCAGCTATTACCAAATCATCGGCATACATAACGTGGTTGAGCAATAGGGAGCCATCCCTTGACCGCACCCAGGCATCGATCAGCCTCCCATTATATCTGTACCAAATGGAGATTCCCCGGTACAGCTATTGAAGGCTTCACGAACTACGTGGTCAAAATATATGTTAAATAATGTGGGAGCCAGAGGACATCCTTTTCGCACCCCAAGATGTACAGAGAATAGCTCTGACTCCTGGCCACGTAGTTTTACCCGGGCCCGCTCACCATCATGAAGGTCCTTAATGATCGTGAGCAGAGGATCAGGTACTCCAAAAGCACGAAGAACAACCCAGAGCCCAGGCCTACTGATGGTATCATAGGTCTTGACCAGGTCAATAAAGCAGAGATGAAGGTCTTGTTGGAATTCCCTACACCTCTGCTGTAGCAGACGCACAAAAAATATGGCATCTGTGCAGGACCGCCCTTTCCTGAAACCGCATTGGGGCTCCGCAAGCCTCTCCCCAGCGTGCCTGGCAAGGCGATGTTGAATAATCCTTGCCAGGACCTTTCCCGGCACACACACACACACGCACACACGCACACACGCACACGCACACACATGCACGCACGCACGCACACATGCACACACGCACACGCACACACGCACACACACACGCACACACGCACGCACGCACGCACACACACGCACGCACACATGCACACACACACACACGCGGGGTGCGTGAGTTTGGTGAGAGTGTGATGTGAGTGTTGCACGAGAGGGCGGTGTGAGTGTGCGGCGTCACGTGCCCCCCCCTCCCCCCCGTGCCCCCCCTCCCCCCCGTGCCCCCCTTCCCCCCGTGCCCCCCCCCTCCCCCCCGCGCGGCGCGTGCAGGCGACCAAGTCCAAGAAGGCCATCCTGCTGCCCGTCACGTTCATGGACGGCACGACGCGCACGCTGCTGGCTGACTCGGCCACCACGGCACGGGAGCTGTGCGGGGCGCTCGCGGACCGCGTGCAGCTCACAGACCGCTTCGGATTCTCACTCTACATCGCTCTCTTTGACAAGGCCAGCCGGGGGGGGCACGCGGGGGGCACGGGGGGGCACGGGGGGGGCACGGGGGGGGCACGGGGGGGGCACGGGGGGGGCACGCGGGGGGCACGGGGGGGGCACGCGGGGGGCACGCGGGGGGGGGGCACGCGGGGGGCAGCGCGGAGACACGTGGGAGGACGCACGGGGAGACGTGGAGACACGCGGGGAGACACGCGGGGAGACATGCGGGGGGACACGTGGGGGGACACGTGGAGACACGCGGAGACACGCACGGGGACATGTGGAGACACGGGGGGAGACACGCGGGGAGCAGCGCCGAGACACGTGGGGGGGACACGTGGGGGGAACGCGGGGGCGAGCGGGAATGAGCGAGTTAGTGCGAGCGGATGAGTGTTTGTGTGAGTGAGTGTTTGTGAGTGTTTGTGTGAGTGAGTGTTTGTGTGAATGAGTGAGTGTTTGTGTGAGTGAGTGTTTGTGTGAGTGTTTGTGTGAGTGAGTGTTTGTGTGAGTGAGTGTTTGTGTGAGTGAGTGTTTGTGTGAGTGAGTGAGTGTCTGGGACAAGTGCTGTGACGACGTCACCTCCACTTTGTGGCGAATGGCGGCTGTTGTTGTTGCATCTTCATGTTGTTGTTAAATCTTGTTGTTGTTGTTGTGGTGGTGGTGTCACAGGTGTCCTCGCTGGGCAGCGGCAGCGACCACGTGATGGACGCCATCTCGCAGTGCGAGCAGTACGCCAAGGAGCAGGGTGCACAGGAGCGCAATGCTCCCTGGCGCCTCTTCTTCCGCAAGGAGATCTTCGCCCCCTGGCACGACCCGGCCGCTGACCCCGTCAGCACCAACCTCATCTACCAGCAGGTCGTGCGCGGGGTCAAGTTCGGAGAGTACCGCTGTGACAAGGTGGGTCTCTGTGGACCTCTGTGGGTCTCTGTGGACCTCTGTGGGTCTCTGTGGACCTCTGTGGGTCTCTGTGGACCTCTGTGGGTCTCTGTGGACCTCTGTGGGTCTCTGTGGACCTCTGTGGGTCTCTGTAGACCTCTGTGGGTCTCTGTGGACCTCTGTGGGTCTCTGTGGACCTCTGTTGGTCTCTGTGCATACAGTGAGGGAAAAAAAGTATTTGATCCCCTGTTGATTTTGTACGTTTGCCCACCGACAAAGAAATGATCAGGCTATATTTAATGGTAGGTTTATTTGAACAGTGAGAGACAGAATAACAACAACAAAAATCCAGAAAAACGCATGTCAAAAATGTTATAAATTGATTTGCATTTTAGTGAGGGAAATAAGTATTTGACCCCTCTGCAAAACATGACTTACTACATGGTGGCAAAACCCTTGTTGGCAATCACAGAGGTCAGACGTTTCTTGTAGTTGGCCACCAGGATTGCACACATCTCAGGAGGGATTTTGTCCCACTCCTCTTTGCAGATCTTCTCCAAGTCATTAAGGTTTCGAGGCTGACGTTTGGCAACTCGAACCTTCAGCTCCCTCCACAGATTTTCTATGGGATTAAGGTCTGGAGACTGGCTAGGCCACTCCATGACCTTAATGTGCTTCTTCTTGAGCCACTCCTTTGTTGCCTTGGCCACTTGTTTTGGGTCATTGTCATGCTGGAATACCCATCCACGACCCATTTTCAATGCCCTGGCTGAGGGAAGGAGGTTCTCACCCAAGATTTGACGGTACATGGCCCCGTCCATCGTCCCTTTGATGCGGTGAAGTTGTCCTGTCCCCTTAGCAGCAAAACACCCCCAAAGCATAATGTTTTCACCTCCATGTTTGACGGTAGGGATGGTGTTCTTGGGGTCATAGGCAGCATTCCTCCTCCTCCTCCAAACACGGCGATTGAGTTGATGCCAAAAAGCTCCATTTTGGTCTCATCTGACCACAACACTTTCACCCAGTTGTCTTCTGAATCATTTAGATGTTCATTGGCAAACTTCAGATGGTCATGTATATGTTCTTTCTTGAGCAGGGGGACCTTGCGGGCGCTGCAGGATTTCAGTCCTTCACGGCGTAGTGTGTTACCAATTGTTTTCTTGGTGACTATGGTCCCAGCTGCCTTGAGATCATTGACAAGATCCTCCCGTGTAGTTCTGGGCTGATTTCTCACCGTTCTCATGATCATTGCAACTTGGTGTGGACCAATCAGCTTCAAGGACAATGCATCATATTATCATAGTATGTTTTTTTTTGCATTTTGACTGCAGGTATTGTGGTTAATGCAGACAAGAATCCTTGTAAAAAAGGTTTCAGTTTTGTTGCCAGAAAAAAGGGGAAAACCCCTATTATTATTAGATTGACAGTTCTTTTGTGTTTCTTCCATTTGCGAATAATTGCACCAACTGTTGTCACCTTCTCACCAAGCTGCTTGGCAATGGTCTTGTAGCCCATTCCAGCCTTGTATAGGTCTACAATCTTGTCCTTGACATCCTTGGAGAGCTCTTTGGTCTTGGCCATGGTGGAGAGTTTGGAATCTGATTGATTGGTTGATTGCTTCTGTGGACAGGTGTCTTTTATACAGGTAACACGCTGAGATTAGGAGCACTCCCTTTAAGAGTGTGCTCCTAATCTCAGCTGGTTACCTGTATAAAAGACACCTGGGAGCCAGAAATCTTTCTGATTGAGAGGGGGTCAAATACTTATTTCCCTCATTAAAATGCAAATCAATTTATAACATTTTTGACATGCGCTTTTTTGGATTTTGTTATTATTCTGTCTCTCACTGTTCAAATAAACCTAACATTAAAATTATAGACTGATCATTTCTTTGTCAGTGGGCAAACGTACAAAATCAGCAGGGGATTAAATACTTTTTTCCCTCACTTTACCTATGGGTCTCTATATGTCTCTATGGGTCTCCATGGGTCTTTATGTATCTCTATGGGTCTCTGTGGGTCTCTGTGGGTCTCTATGGGTCTCTGTGTCTTATTCTATCCCCGTGTCTCACTGACCCCGTGTCTCTGCCCCCGTGTCTTACTCTGTCCCCGTGTCTCACTCTGTCCCCGTGTCTCACTCTGTCCCCGTGTCTTTGCCCCCGTGTCTCACTCTGTCCCCGTGTCTCACTCTGTCCCCGTATCTCACTCTGTCCCCGTGTCTCTGTCCCCGTGTCTCTGTCCCCGTGTCTCACTCTGTCCCCGTGTCTCTGTCTCCGTATCTCTGTCCCCGAGTCTCACTCTGTCCCCGTGTCTCACTCTGTCCCCATGTCTCACTCTGCTCCCGTGTCTCACTCTGTCCCCGTGTCTCACTCTGTCCCCGTATCTCACTCTGTCCCCGTGTCTCTGTCCCCGTGTCTCACTCTGTCCCCGTGTCTCTGTCTCCGTGTCTCTGTCCCCGAGTCTCAGTCTGTCCCCGTGTCTCACTCTGTCCCCGTGTCTCACTGATCCCGTGTCTGTCCCCGTGTCTCACTCTGTCCCCGTGTCCCACTCTGTCCCGCGCGAGTCCCCAGGAGGAGGACCTGGCGGAGCTGGCGGCCCAGCAGTACTACGTGGAGTACGGCTCCGAGGTGCTGCCTGAGCGCCTGCTCTCCCTCGTGCCCTCCTACGTCCCCGACCGCGACGTCACCGCACAGCGGCCGCCCGACAAGTGGGCGCAGATCATCGCTGCCGCACACAAGAAGGTGCGGTGTGGTGTGGTGTGGTGCGGCGTGGTGTGGTGCGGTGTGGTGTGGTGCGGTGTGGTGTGGTGTGGTGCGGTGCGGTGTGGTGTGGTGCGGTGTGGTGTGGTGTGGTGTGGTGCGGTGTGGTGCATTGTGGTGCAGTGTGGTGTGGTGTGATGTGGTGTGGTGCAGTTTGGTGTGGTGCAATGTGGTTTGGTGTGGTGCGGTGCGGTGTGATGTGGTGTGGTGTGGTGCGGTGTGGTGTGGTGCAGTGTGGTGTGGTGCAGTGTGGTGCGGTGTGGTGTCGTGTACTGAGGTTCGATTCCCGCTCGCCACCAATGCTGGTGGTGAATATATCTACTATCTGGTGGTGAATATATCTACTATCTGGTGGTGAATATATCTACTATCTGGTGGTGAATATATCTACTATCTGGTGGTGAATATATCTACTATCTGGTGGTGAATATATCTACTCTCTGGTGGTGAATATATCTACTATCTGGTGGTGAATATATCTACTATCTGGTGGTGAATATGTCTACTATCTGGTGGTGAATATGTCTACTATCTGGTGGTGAATATGTCTACTATCTGGTGGTGAATATGTCTACTATCTGGTGGTGAATATATCTACTAGCTGGTGGTGAATATGTCTACTATCTGGTGGTGAATATGTCTACTATCTGGTGGTGAATATCCACTAGCTGGTGGTGAATATATCTACTATCTGGTGGTGAATATATCTACTATCTGGTGGTGAATATATCTACTATCTGGTGGTGAATATTTCCACTATCTGGTGGTGAATATATCTACTATCTGGTGGTGAATATATCTACCATCTGGTCGTGAATATATCTACTATCTGGTGGTGAATATATCTACTATCTGGTGGTGAATATATCTACTAGCTGGTGGTGTATATATCTACTATCTGGTGGTGAATATATCTACTATCTGGTGGTGAATATATCTACCATCTGGTGGTGAATATATCTACTATCTGGTGGTGAATATATCTACTATCTGGTGGTGAATATATCTACTATCTGGTGGTGAATATATCTACTATCTGGTGGTGAATATGTCTAATATCTGGTGGTGAATATATCTACTATCTGGTGGTGAATATATCTACTATCTGGTGGTGAATATATCTACTCTCTGGTGGTGAATATATCTACTATCTGGTGGTGAATATATCTACTATCTGGTGGTGAATATGTCTACTATCTGGTGGTGAATATATCTACTATCTGGTGGTGAATATATCTACTATCTGGTGGTGAATATTTCCACTATCTGGTGGTGAATATATCTACTATCTGGTGGTGAATATATCTACCATCTGGTCGTGAATATATCTACTATCTGGTGGTGAATATATCTACTATCTGATGGTGAATATATCTACTAGCTGGTGGTGTATATATCTACTATCTGGTGGTGAATATATCTACTATCTGGTGGTGAATATATCTACCATCTGGTCGTGAATATATCTACTATCTGGTGGTGAATATATCTACTATCTGGTGGTGAATATATCTACCATCTGGTGGTGAATATATCTACTATCTGATGGTGAATATATCTACTATCTGGTGGTGAATATATCTACTATCTGGTGGTGAATATATCTACTATCTGGTGGTGAATATATCTACTATCTGGTGGTGAATATATCTACTATCTGGTGGTGAATATATCTACTATCTGGTGGTGAATATATCTACTATCTGGTGGTGAATATGTCTAATATCTGGTGGTGAATATATCTACTATCTGGTGGTGAATATATCTACTATCTGGTGGTGAATATATCTACTATCTGGTGGTGAATATATCTACTATCTGGTGGTTAATATATCTACTATCTGGTGGTGAATATATCTACTCTCTGGTGGTGAATATATCTACTATCTGGTGGTGAATATGTCTACTATCTGGTGGTGAATATGTCTACTATCTGGTGGTGAATATGTCCACTATCTGGTGGTGAATATGTCTACTATCTGGTGGTGAATATATCTACTAGCTGGTGGTGAATATGTCTACTATCTGGTGGTGAATATGTCTACTATCTGGTGGTGAATATATCTACTAGCTGGTGGTGAATATATCTACTATCTGGTGGTGAATATATCTACTATCTGGTGGTGAATATTTCCACTATCTGGTGGTGAATATATCTACTATCTGGTGGTGAATATATCTACCATCTGGTCGTGAATATATATACTATCTGGTGGTGAATATATCTACTCTCTGGTGGTGAATATATCTACTAGCTGGTGGTGAATATATCTACTATCTGGTGGTGAATATATCTACTAACTGGTGGTGAATATATCTACTATCTGGTGGTGAATATATCTACTATCTGGTAGTGAATTATATCTACTCTCTGGTGGTGAATATATCTACTATCTGGTGGTGAATATATCTACTATCTGGTGGTGAATATATCTACCATCTGGTGGTGAATATATCTACCATCTGGTGGTGAATATATCTACTATCTGGTGGTGAATATATCTACTATCTGATGGTGAATATATATACTATCTGGTGGTGAATATATCTACTATCTGGTGGTGAATATATCTACTATCTGGTGGTGAATATATCTACTATCTGGTGGTGAATATATCTACTATCTGGTGGTGAATATATCTACTATCTGGTGGTGAATATATCTACTATCTGGTGGTGAATATATCCACTATCTGGTGGTGAATATATCTACTATCTGGTGGTGAATATATCTACTATCTGGTGGTGAATATATCTACTATCTGGTGGTGAATATATCTACTATCTGGTGGTGAATATATCCACTATCCTGTGGTGAATATATCTACTATCCGGTGGTGAACATATCTACTATCTGGTGGTGAATATATCTACTATCTGGTGGTGAATATATCTACCATCTGGTGGTGAATATATCTACTATCTGGTGGTGAATATATCTAATATCTGGTGGTGAATATATCTACTATCTGGTGGTGAATATATCCACTAGCTGGCCACCCACGCCCCTCGTGTGCTCGCCAACGGCAATTGCCGCTGGAGCCCCCGTGTAGGCTACGTGGGGCACCCCCAGCATGCGTCTATAGGAAGTTGTTTGTGCAATGTGGGTGCAATGTGCTTGTGTGTAATGTGTGTGTGTACCATGTTGTGTGTGCGTGTGTACCATGTGTATGCGTGGGTGCTATGTGTGTGCGCGTGTGTGCTATGTGTGTGCCATGCTGTGTGTGCGTGTGTACCATGCTGTTTGTGCGTGTGTACCATGTGTATGCGTGGGTGCTATGTGTGTGCCATGTTGTGTGTGCGTGTGTACCATGTGTATGCGTGGGTGCTATGTGTGTGTGCGTGTGTGCTATGTGTGTGCCATGCTGTGTGTGCATGTGTACCATGCTGTTTGTGCGTGTGCCATGCTGTGTGTGCGTGTGTACCATGTGTATGCGTGTGTGCTATGTGTGTGTGCGTGTGTACCATGCTGTGTGCGTGTGTACCATGCTGTGTGTGTGTGTACCATGCTGTGTGTGTGTGTACCATGCTGTGTGTGCGTGTGTACCATGCTGTGTGTGTGTGTACCATGCTGTGTGTGCGTGTGTACCATGCTGTGTGTGTGTGTACCATGCTGTGTGTGCGTGTGTACCATGCTGTGTGTGCGTGTGTATCATGCTGTGTGTGCGTCATGCTGTGTGTGTGTGTGTACCATGCTGTGTGTGCGTGTGCCATGCTGTGTGTGCGTGTGTACCATCCTGTGTGTGCGTGTGTGCCATGCTGTGTGTGTGTGTGCCATGCTGTGTATGCGTGTGTACCATGCTGTGTGTGCGTGTGTATCATGCTGTGTGTGCATCATGCTGTGTGTGCGTGTGTACCATGCTGTGTGTGCGTGTTTACCATGCTGTGTGTGCGTGTGTATCATGCTGCGTGTGTACCATGCTGTGTGTGCGTGTGTATCATGCTGTGTGTGCATCATGCTGTGTGTGCGTGTGTACCATGCTGTGTGTGTGTGTGTACCATGCTGTGTGTGCGTGTGCCATCCTTTGTGTGCGTGTACCATGCTGTGTGTGTGTGTACCATGCTGTGTGTGCGTGTGTGCCATGCTGTGTGTGCGTCATGCTGTGTGTGCGTGTGTGCCATGCTGTGTGTGTGTGTACCATGCTGTGTGTGTGTGTACCATGCTGTGTGTGTGTGTACCATGCTGTGTGTGTGTACCATGCTGTGTGTGCGTCATGCTGTGTGTGCGTCATGCTGTGTGTGCGTCATGCTGTGTGTGCGTGTGTACCATGCTGTGTGTGTGTGTACCATGCTGTGTGTGTGTGTGTGTACCATGCTGTATGTGTGTACCATGCTGTGTGTGTGTGTACCATGCTGTGTGTGCACCACACCCCCACTGCCCGCGCCAGGCCGTGTACACGCAGCAGCGTGTGGACCCCCGCAAGGTGCGTGAGGACGTCGTCAACTTTGCTCGCTTCAAGTGGCCGCTACTCTTCTCTCGCTTCTACGAGGCCTACAAGTTCTCTGGTGCGCGACCCCCGACCCCTGACTCCCGAACTCCAACCCCTGACCTCGACCCCCAACGCTGACCCCCAAACCCCAACCCTGACCCCTGACCTCGAACCCTGACCCCCAACCCCTGACCCCAATCACTAAAATGTGATTTCAACCCCTGGTCCCGAATCCGTAACCCCTCCATGCTCTCTCCTTCCTCTCCCGTCTCACCGCTCTCTGCTCCCTTCCACGCACTCCCCTGGCTGTCCCCTCTCACCTCGTGTGTCATGCGGGTGAGGACAAGCGGTGTTGCAGCACCACCACACTGTGAACACCACGGTGGTGGTACAGCACCACCACACTGTGAACCCGGTGGTGGTGCAGCACCACCACACTGTGAACCTGGTGGTGGTGTAGCACCATCACACTATGAACCCGGTGGTGGTGCAGCACCACCACACTGTGAACACCACGGTGGTGGTACAGCACCACCACACTGTGAACCCGGTGGTGGTGCAGCACCACCACACTGTGAACCCGGTGGTGGTGTAGCACCACCACACTGTGAACCCGGTGGTGGTGCAGCACCACCACACTGTGAACACCACGGTGGTGGTGTAGCACCATCACACTATGAACACCACGGTGGTGGTACAGCACCATCACACTGTGAACCCCACGGTGGTGGTGCAGCACCACCACACTGTGAACACCACGGTGGTGGTGTAGCACCATCACACTGTGAACCCCACGGTGGTGGTGTAGCACCACCACACTGTGAACCCGGTGGTGGTGCAGCACCATCACACTGTGAACCCGGTGGTGGTGTAGCACCATCACACTATAAACCCCACGGTGATGCAGCACCGACAGTGACAAATGTTTTAGCTGCTCCCGGGCCTCCGCTAGGTGGACTCGGCCTTAAATGAGTCGCTGGGGAGACAAAGGCGGCCAGGTGTGGAGCCGGCCACCCACCCCCTCGTGTGCCGTGCCGGCCTTCATCAGTGCTACCCGCCACCAGCACTTGCCCCAACTGTCTGTTCAGGCAACACGGGGGATCTTTGTCTTTGTGTGTGCGTGTGTGCCTGCGTGTGTGCCTGCGTGTGTGTGTGTGTGTGCGTGTGTATGTGTGCCTGCGTGTGTGTGTGTGTGTGCGTGTGTGTGTGCGTGCTTGCATGTGTGTGCGTGCTTGCGTGTGTGTGCGTGCCTGCGTGTGTGTGTGTGTGTGCGTGCTTGCGTGTGTATGTGTGCCTGCGTGTGTGTGTGTGTGCGTGCCTGCGTGTGTGCGTGCCTGCGTGTGTGTTTATGTGTGCCTGCGTGTGTGTGTACATGCCTGCGTGTGTGTGTGCGTGCCTGCGTGTGTGTGTGTGTACGTGCCTGCGTGTGTGTGTACCTGCGTGTGTGTGTTCCTGCGAGCGTGTGTGCGTGCCTGTGTGTGCGTGCCTGCGTGTGTTATGTGTGCCTGCGTGTGTGCGTGTCTGCGTGTGTGTGCGTGTCTGCGTGTGTGTGTGCCTGCGTGTGTATGTGTGCCTGCGTGTGTGCGTGTGTATGTGTGCGTGTGTATGTGTGCCTGCGTGTGTGTGCGTGTGTGTATGTGCATGTGTGTGTGTGTGTGCGTGTGTGTGTGTGTGCGTGCGGGTGTGTGTGTGCGTGCTTGCGTGTGTGCACGTGTCTGCACAGGCCCGAGCCTGCCCAAGAACGAGGTGATCGTGGCGGTGAACTGGACGGGCGTCTACTTTGTGGACGAGCAGGAGCAGGTGCTGCTGGAGCTGTCCTTCCCCGACATCACCGCCGTGTCCAGCAGCCGGTACGGCACCGGGCTTCACCGGGCCCGGGACCCGCTGCCGGCTGGCCGGGTCGCGGTAACGTCCGGGTTGCGGTTAGCCAAAAAACTATTTATTATTTCACGAGGTAAGGCCCCGCTGAGCTTTGCGATTCTTCTTTTCGAAGCGACCTGCTCACCATCAACGATAGCTCAACGAAGTGGCTGGCGTCATCATCGCGTGGACATTTACAGCGGCCGAGGGTCTCTGAACGCGTGCTGACCTTGACCCTAGACGATGTGGAAGGGGACAAACCGGAGCAGCCGGAGAAAAATCCACGCGAACACGGGGAGCGAGATGCGCAATCTCCAAATGTACAGCAGCAGCAGCAGGCATCGTCAGGGTCGGGATGGCTGTAGCGGCTGGATAGCGGCACTATGCTAACCCCTATGCTATTGCTCTGAATGGACACCCATGCACGCACACACGTGCATGCGCGCTCACGCGCTCACACACACTCACACACGCGCGTGCGTGTGTGCAGCGGGGCGAAGCAGCACGGGCAGAGCTTCACACTGACGACGCTCAAGGGCGACGAGTTCACCTTCACGTCGAGCAACGCCGACGACGTCCGTGACCTCGTCGTGCTCTTCCTGGAGGGGCTGCGCTCACGCTCCACCTACGTCGTGGCGCTGCAGGACAGCCCCGCGCCCGGTACGCACGCACACACACACACACGCACACACGCACGCACACATACACACACGCACACGCACACACACACGCACACACACACCCACGCACGCACACGCACACACACACCCACGTACGCACACACCCACGCACGCACACACACACCCACGCACGCACACACCCACGCACGCACACGCACGCACACACACGCACACACACGCACGCACACACACGCACACACACCCATGCACGCACACACGCACGCACGCACACACACACACACCCACGCACGCACGCACCCACGCACGCACACACCCACGCACGCACGCACACACACACCCACGCACGCACACACACGTACACATGCATAGCATTAGCAGACTGTTGGGGCAAGTTCTGTTAGTGGACACCTATGAAGGCACACGAGGGGGTGGGTGGCCAGCACCACGCCCGGCCGCCTTTGTCTCCCCACTACTGCAGTTGATCTCAGGTGTGTGTGTGTGTGTGGGGAGCAGTGGCGCAGTGGTTAGCGCTGCGATACGAACCCGGCAACCCGAGTTCAATTCCCTCTGATGGCCACCAACACCATTGAGTGCCTGGTGTGGTGTGTGAACATCAATTATGGGCAGGCAAAGGCGGTTGGGCATGGAGCTGGCCACCCGCTGCCTCGTGTGCTGTGCCGGCCTTCATGGGTACTACTCGTTAACGACACTCGCCCCAACAGTCTGTTGCAGGCTACACGGGAGGTTTTCGTCTTCTATGTGCGTGTCTGCATTTGTATCTGTGTGCCTATGTATTTGTGTGTTCGTGCGCGTGCCCGTGTGTGCGTGCATGCGTGCACGTGCCTGTCGAGTCCGTTCATGTGCCCGCTTGTGCCCCGTGCCCCGTGCCCGCTTGTGCCCCGTGCCCGCTTGTGCCCCGTGCCCGCTTGTGCCCCGTGCCCGCTTGTGCCCCGTGCCCCGTGCCCACTTGTGCCCCGTGCGCGTCAGCGGGCGAGGAGGGAACCTTCCTGACGTTCCGCAAGGGCGACCTCCTGGTGCTGGACCAGGACACGGGCGCCACGGTGCTCACCACGGGCTGGGCGCACGCTGCCAACGAGCGCACGGGGCAGCGCGGGGACTTCCCCACGGACTGCGTCTACGTGCTGCCCACACTCACGCGCCCACTGCCCGAGATACAGGCACGCGCTTGCGCTCGGTCGATGGCTCAATCGCTCGCCACCTTTGGGGGAAGTTAAATACTTGTCGCACGCGCGCTCGCGTGCGTGCTTGTCGGGCTGCATTGACTGCCGGTTGCCTGAAGAAATATGCAACGTATAATATATCATTTATACATGCGTGCGCTGCATACATACATGCACGTGCGCACGTGTGCGAGCGTGTGTGTATGTGGCGGGGAGCGGTGGCGCAGCGGTTAGCATGCTGCACTGCAAACCCACCAACACGCATTCGATTCCTGCTCTTGACGAATAAAAGTGGCGATTATCTGAACCGGCCCTGGGTCTAGCTTAGGTCGACTCAACCTCAAATGAGTACCTTTTGCGATGTGTAAAACTTCGTCATTAGGGAGGCGAAGGCGGTCAAACGTGGTGCTGGCCACCCACCCCTGGCATGTATAGGTGCTGCTCACTAGCAGCACTTGACCCAACAGTCTGTGAAGGCTACGTGGGCGATCTTTGTCTTTGTGTGTGCACAAACCAAACAGCTGGCTCAGTCCTAGAGCGAGCACAGTCAGGAAGTCGTGAGTTCAAATCCTGGCTGGGGAGGTTGACTCAGCCAATCATAATCCCACCCTCTGGGGTCCTTAAAATGAGCACCACTTTGTGCGGAAGTCAACAGCGGTTGCCCATTGGATGGACACGCTCTCCGCCATAGAAACGTGGAATTTCCAGCAATGGCTGTGCAGGGCTGTGAACGCGGGATGCGCTGTGGTGGCGAAATGTTAACGACCTCAACCTGGTATGCAGAAGGTTGTTGGTTCGAGCCTGATGCCTGCTGCTGCTGCTGTATAGTTGGAGTTTGCGTGTCTCTCTCTCCCCGCGGTCACGTGGATTTTTCTCCAGGTCCTCCGGTATTTTTTGACTCCCACATTTAGAATCAACGCCGCACCTTCGAAGTATTTGTCTACAGTACGTTTCCGTGCGATGAAAAGCCGCTTCGTTGAGCTACCATTTTGTGATAGCCAGGTTGCTTCCGAGCTACGAGGCTCAGTGGGCCTTATCTGATAATAAAAAAAGTTTAGTTTTCATTGAGATGCACCACCTGAGGATATCGCTGTGACTCTGACTCCGATGTTGTCGATGTTCGGCAGGCACTGGTTACCATGACGCCTGACCAGCGGCAGGAAGTGATGCGCACTTCCCAGCAGGCCGTGCAGGGCTCGGAGGAGTCGGTGGCGCTCTACACGCTAGAGGAGTTTGCGCTCGATTACTTCCGGTGAGCGGCACTGCCGCAGACGCATAGAGAGTGTGGCAGCATCCACCACCACCACCACCACCAAGTCACCCAGCCATGGTGGCACCACCACCACCAAGTCGCCCAGTCAGGCTGGCACCACCACCACCACCACCACCAAGTCACTCAGCCAGGGCACCACCACCACCAAGTCACTCAGCCAGGGCACCACCACCACCAAGTCACCCAGCCAGGGTGGCACCACCATCACCACCCTTCACCTAGCCAGGGCACCACCACCACCCTTCACCCAGCCAGGGTGGCACCACCACCCTTCACCTAGCCAGGGTGGCCCCACCACCACCACCAAGTCACTCAGCCAGGGCACCACCACCACCACTCTTCACCCAGCCAGGGCACCACCACCACCCTTCACCTAGCCAGGGTGGCACCACCACCATCCTTCACCCAGCCAGGATGGCACCACCACCACCCTTCACCCAGCCAGGGTGGCACCACCACCACCCTTCACCCAGCCAGGGTGGCACCACCACCACCACCCTTCACCTAGCCAGGGTGGCACCACCACCACCCTTCACCCAGCCAGGGTAGCACCACCACCACCACTCTTCACCTAGCCAGGGTGGCACCACCACCACCACCATCCTTCACCCAGCCAGGGTGGCACCACCACCACCCTTCACCTAGCCAGGGTGGCACCACCCTTCACCTAGCCAGGGTGGCACCACCACCACCCTTCACTCAGCCAAGGTGGATCACAGCTCATTTAATGTGCTCCCCATGACCTCCTCTCCCTCACCGTGATCTCTCTCCCCACCCGCGATCTCTTCTTCTCCCCCACGATCCCCTCTTCTCCCCCCTGCTCCCCCCCCCCCCCCCCGGCGAGCGATCAGGGCGCCCCCGAAGCACACGCTCAGCCGCGTGATGATGGCACGCTCGCGGGGCCGGGAGCGGCTGTGGGCCTGCACCCGGGAGCCCCTCAAGCAGCCGCTGCTGCGCAAGGCGGCCACCTCCGAGGAGATGAGCCAAGAGGCCTGCATGGCCTTCATGGATATCCTCACCGCTCACGCTCAAGCTAGCGGGTGCTACGATCAAGCGCCAGGCTACTCTCTCGCTCACAAACTCACTTAGTCGCTCACTCGGTCACCTACTCACACATTCGCTGCTTCTATATTGGTATGTTTAACCAACTGCGTTAATGAGTGAGTGGATTGCACCACGTGGGAGGTAAGCGGAGTACCCGGACAAAACCCGCGAGGAGAGGAGTAATCACTCGATTCCCGTAGTATAAATGAGCATCGTCCCGCTTGCTGTACTGCCACCGTACTCTGGCGGCCCCGCCGTGTGATCCGCCAACCCCCCTTTGTGAGTCTGTGGGGTGTGGTTGGGTGTTGTGAGTCGGTGGGATGCGGTTGGGTGTTGTGAGTCTGTGGGTGTTGTGAGTCTGTGGGTGTTGTGAGTCTGTGGGTGTTGTGAGTCTGTGAGTGTGTTTGGGTGTTGTGAGTCTGTGGGTGTGGTGGGGTGTTGTGAGTCTGTGGGTGTTGTGAGTCTGTGGGTGTTGTGAGTCTGTGGGTGTTGTGAGTCTGTGGGTGTTGTGAGTCTGTGGGTGTTGTGAGTCTGTGGGTGTTGAGAGTCTGTGGGGTGTGGTTGGGTGTTGTGAGTCTGTGGGTGTTGTGAGTCTGTGGGTGTGGTTGGGTGTTGTGAGTCTGTGGGTGTTGTGAGTCTGTGGGTGTTGTGAGTCTGTGGGTGAGGTTGGGTGTTATGAGTCTGTGGGTGTTGTGAGTCTGTGGGTGTTGTGAGTCTGTGGGTGTTGAGAGTCTGTGGGGTGTGGTTGGGTGTTGTGAGTCTGTGGGTGTTGTGAGTCTGTGGGTGTGGTTGGGTGTTGTGAGTCTGTGGGTGTTGTGAGTCTGTGGGTGTTGTGAGTCTGTGGGTGAGGTTGGGTGTTGTGAGTCTGTGGGCGTGGTTGGGTGTTGTGAGTCTGTGGGTGTTGTGAGTCTGTGGGTGTGGTTGGGTGTTGTGAGTCTGTGGGTGTGGTGGGGTGTTGTGAGTCTGTGGGTGTTGTGAGTCTGTGGGTGTTGTGAGTCTGTGGGTGTTGAGAGTCTGTGGGGTGTGGTTGGGTGTTGTGAGTCTGTGGGTGTTGTGAGTCTGTGGGTGTGGTTGGGTGTTGTGAGTCTGTGGGTGTGGTGGGGTGTTGTGAGTCTGTGGGTGTTGTGAGTCTGTGGGTGTTGTGAGTCTGTGGGTGTTGTGAGTCTGTGGGTGTTGTGAGTCTGTGGGTGTGGTTGGGTGTTGTGAGTCTGTGGCGTGAGGTTGGGTGTTGTGAGTCTGTGGGGGTGTTTGGGTGTTGTGAGTCTGTGGGTGTGTTTGGGTGTTGTGAGTCTGTGGGTGTTGTGAGTCTGTGGGTGTTGTGAGTCTGTGGGTGTGTTTGGGTGTTGTGAGTCTGTGGGGTGAGGTTGGGTGTTGTGAGTCTGTGGGTGTTGTGAGTCTGTGGGTGTGTTTGGGTGTTGTGAGTCTGTGGGTGTGTTTGGGTGTTGTGAGTCTGTGGGTGTTGTGAGTCTGTGGGTGTTGTGAGTCTGTGGGTGTGTTTGGGTGTTGTGAGTCTGTGGCGTGAGGTTGGGTGTTGTGAGTCTGTGGGTGTTGTGAGTCTGTGGGTGTTGTGAGTCTGTGGGTGTTGTGAGTCTGTGGGTGTTGTGAGTCTGTGAGTGTGTTTGGGTGTTGTGAGTCTGTGGGTGTGGTTGGGTGTTGTGAGTCTGTGGGTGTGTTTGGGTGTTGTGAGTCTGTGGGTGTGGTGGGGTGTTGTGAGTCTGTGGGTGTTGTGAGTCTGTGGGTGTTGAGAGTCTGTGGGGTGTGGTTGGGTGTTGTGAGTCTGTGGGTGTTGTGAGTCTGTGGGTGTGGTTGGGTGTTGTGAGTCTGTGGGTGTGGTGGGGTGTTGTGAGTCTGTGGGTGTTGTGAGTCTGTGGGTGTTGTGAGTTTGTGGGTGTGTTTGGGTGTTGTGAGTCTGTGGGGTGAGGTTGGGTGTTGTGAGTTTGTGGGTGTGATTGGGTGTTGTCTGTGGGGTGAGGTTGGGTGTTGTGAGTCTGTGGGTGTTGTGAGTCTGTGGGTGTTGTGAGTCTGTGGGTGTTGTGAGTCTTTGGGTGAGGTTGGGTGTTGTGAGTCTGTGGGTGTTGTGAGTCTGTGGGTGAGGTTGGGTGTTGTGAGTCTGTGGGTGTTGTGAGTCTGTGGGGTGTGATTCTGTGGGTGTGGTTGGGTGTTGTGAGTCTGTGGGTGTGGTGGGGTGTTGTGAGTCTGTGGGTGTTGTGAGTCTGTGGGTGTTGAGAGTCTGTGGGGTGTGGTTGGGTGTTGTGAGTCTGTGGGTGTGGTGGGGTGTTGTGAGTCTGTGGGTGTTGTGAGTCTGTGGGTGTTGTGAGTCTGTGGGTGTTGTGAGTCTGTGGGTGTTGAGAGTCTGTGGGGTGTGGTTGGGTGTTGTGAGTCTGTGGGTGTGGTGGGGTGTTGTGAGTCTGTGGGTGTTGTGAGTCTGTGGGTGTTGTGAGTCTGTGGGTGTTGTGAGTCTGTGGGTGTTGTGAGTTTGTGGGTGTGTTTGGGTGTTGTGAGTCTGTGGGGTGAGGTTGGGTGTTGTGAGTTTGTGGGTGTGATTGGGTGTTGTCTGTGGGGTGAGGTTGGGTGTTGTGAGTCTGTGGGTGTTGTGAGTCTGTGGGTGTTGTGAGTCTGTGGGTGAGGTTGGGTGTTGTGAGTCTGTGGGTGTTTGTGAGTCTGTGGGTGAGGTTGGGTGTTGTGAGTCTGTGGGTGTTGTGAGTCTGTGGGGTGTGATTGGGTGTTGTGAGTCTGTGGGTGTGATTGGGTGTTGTGAGTCTGTGGGGTGTTGTGAGTCTGTGGGTGAGGTTGGGTGTTGTGAGTCTGTGGGTGTTGTGAGTCTGTGGGTGTTGTGAGTCTGTGGGTGTTGAGAGTCTGTGGGGTGTGGTTGGGTGTTGTGAGTCTGTGGGTGTGGTTGGGTGTTGTGAGTCTGTGGGTGTGGTGGGGTGTTGTGAGTCTGTGGGTGTTGTGAGTCTTTGGGTGTTGTGAGTCTGTGGGTGTTGTGAGTCTGTGGGTGTGGTTGGGTGTTGTGAGTCTGTGGCGTGAGGTTGGGTGTTGTGAGTCTGTGGGTGTGTTTGGGTGTTGTGAGTCTGTGGGTGTGTTTGGGTGTTGTGAGTCTGTGGGTGTTGTGAGTCTGTGGGTGTTGTGAGTCTGTGGGTGTGTTTGGGTGTTGTGAGTCTGTGGGGTGAGGTTGGGTGTTGTGAGTCTGTGGGTGTTGTGAGTCTGTGGGTGTATTTGGGTGTTGTGAGTCTGTGGGTGTGTTTGGGTGTTGTGAGTCTGTGGGTGTTGTGAGTCTGTGGGTGTTGTGAGTCTGTGGGTGTGTTTGGGTGTTGTGAGTCTGTGGCGTGAGGTTGGGTGTTGTGAGTCTGTGGGTGTTGTGAGTCTGTGGGTGTTGTGAGTCTGTGGGTGTTGTGAGTCTGTGGGTGTTGTGAGTCTGTGGGTGTTGTGAGTCTGTGAGTGTGTTTGGGTGTTGTGAGTCTGTGGGTGTGGTTGGGTGTTGTGAGTCTGTGGGTGTGATTGGGTGTTGTGAGTCTGTGGGTGTGGTGGGGTGTTGTGAGTCTGTGGGTGTTGTGAGTCTGTGGGTGTTGAGAGTCTGTGGGGTGTGGTTGGGTGTTGTGAGTCTGTGGGTGTTGTGAGTCTGTGGGTGTGGTTGGGTGTTGTGAGTCTGTGGGTGTGGTGGGGTGTTGTGAGTCTGTGGGTGTTGTGAGTCTGTGGGTGTTGTGAGTCTGTGGGTGTTGAGAGTCTGTGGGGTGTGGTTGGGTGTTGTGAGTCTGTGGGTGTGGTGGGGTGTTGTGAGTCTGTGGGTGTTGTGAGTCTGTGGGTGTTGTGAGTCTGTGGGTGTTGTGAGTCTGTGGGTGTTGTGAGTTTGTGGGTGTGTTTGGGTGTTGTGAGTCTGTGGGGTGAGGTTGGGTGTTGTGAGTTTGTGGGTGTGATTGGGTGTTGTCTGTGGGGTGAGGTTGGGTGTTGTGAGTCTGTGGGTGTTGTGAGTCTGTGGGTGTTGTGAGTCTGTGGGTGAGGTTGGGTGTTGTGAGTCTGTGGGTGTTGTGAGTCTGTGGGTGAGGTTGGGTGTTGTGAGTCTGTGGGTGTTGTGAGTCTGTGGGGTGTGATTCTGTGGGTGTGGTTGGGTGTTGTGAGTCTGTGGGTGTGGTGGGGTGTTGTGAGTCTGTGGGTGTTGTGAGTCTGTGGGTGTTGTGAGTCTGTGGGTGTTGAGAGTCTGTGGGGTGTGGTTGGGTGTTGTGAGTCTGTGGGTGTGGTGGGGTGTTGTGAGTCTGTGGGTGTTGTGAGTCTGTGGGTGTTGTGAGTCTGTGGGTGTTGTGAGTGTGGGTGTTGAGAGTCTGTGGGGTGTGGTTGGGTGTTGTGAGTCTGTGGGTGTGGTGGGGTGTTGTGAGTCTGTGGGTGTTGTGAGTCTGTGGGTGTTGTGAGTCTGTGGGTGTTGTGAGTTTGTGGGTGTGTTTGGGTGTTGTGAGTCTGTGGGGTGAGGTTGGGTGTTGTGAGTTTGTGGGTGTGATTGGGTGTTGTCTGTGGGGTGAGGTTGGGTGTTGTGAGTCTGTGGGTGTTGTGAGTCTGTGGGTGTTGTGAGTCTGTGGGTGAGGTTGGGTGTTGTGAGTCTGTGGGTGTTGTGAGTCTGTGGGTGAGGTTGGGTGTTGTGAGTCTGTGGGTGTTGTGAGTCTGTGGGGTGTGATTGGGTGTTGTGAGTCTGTGGGTGTGATTGGGTGTTGTGAGTCTGTGGGGTGTTGTGAGTCTGTGGGTGAGGTTGGGTGTTGTGAGTCTGTGGGTGTTGTGAGTCTGTGGGTGTTGTGAGTCTGTGGGTGTTGAGAGTCTGTGGGGTGTGGTTGGGTGTTGTGAGTCTGTGGGTGTGGTTGGGTGTTGTGAGTCTGTGGGTGTGGTGGGGTGTTGTGAGTCTGTGGGTGTTGTGAGTCTTTGGGTGTTGTGAGTCTGTGGGTGTTGTGAGTCTGTGGGTGTGGTTGGGTGTTGTGAGTCTGTGGCGTGAGGTTGGGTGTTGTGAGTCTGTGGGTGTGTTTGGGTGTTGTGAGTCTGTGGGTGTGTTTGGGTGTTGTGAGTCTGTGGGTGTTGTGAGTCTGTGGGTGTTGTGAGTCTGTGGGTGTGTTTGGGTGTTGTGAGTCTGTGGGGTGAGGTTGGGTGTTGTGAGTCTGTGGGTGTTGTGAGTCTGTGGGTGTATTTGGGTGTTGTGAGTCTGTGGGTGTGTTTGGGTGTTGTGAGTCTGTGGGTGTTGTGAGTCTGTGGGTGTTGTGAGTCTGTGGGTGTGTTTGGGTGTTGTGAGTCTGTGGCGTGAGGTTGGGTGTTGTGAGTCTGTGGGTGTTGTGAGTCTGTGGGTGTTGTGAGTCTGTGGGTGTTGTGAGTCTGTGGGTGTTGTGAGTCTGTGGGTGTTGTGAGTCTGTGGGTGTTGTGAGTCTGTGAGTGTGTTTGGGTGTTGTGAGTCTGTGGGTGTGGTTGGGTGTTGTGAGTCTGTGGGTGTGATTGGGTGTTGTGAGTCTGTGGGTGTGGTGGGGTGTTGTGAGTCTGTGGGTGTTGTGAGTCTGTGGGTGTTGAGAGTCTGTGGGGTGTGGTTGGGTGTTGTGAGTGTTTGGGTGTTGTGAGTCTGTGGGTGTGGTTGGGTGTTGTGAGTCTGTGGGTGTGGTGGGGTGTTGTGAGTCTGTGGGTGTTGTGAGTCTGTGGGTGTTGTGAGTCTGTGGGTGTTGAGAGTCTGTGGGGTGTGGTTGGGTGTTGTGAGTCTGTGGGTGTGGTGGGGTGTTGTGAGTCTGTGGGTGTTGTGAGTCTGTGGGTGTTGTGAGTCTGTGGGTGTTGTGAGTCTGTGGGTGTTGTGAGTTTGTGGGTGTGTTTGGGTGATTGAGTCTGTGGGGTGAGGTTGGGTGTTGTGAGTTTGTGGGTGTGATTGGGTGTTGTCTGTGGGGTGAGGTTGGGTGTTGTGAGTCTGTGGGTGTTGTGAGTCTGTGGGTGTTGTGAGTCTGTGGGTGAGGTTGGGTGTTGTGAGTCTGTGGGTGTTGTGAGTCTGTGGGTGAGGTTGGGTGTTGTGAGTCTGTGGGTGTTGTGAGTCTGTGGGGTGTGATTGGGTGTTGTGAGTCTGTGGGTGTGATTGGGTGTTGTGAGTCTGTGGGGTGTTGTGAGTCTGTGGGTGAGGTTGGGTGTTGTGAGTCTGTGGGTGTTGTGAGTCTGTGGTTGTGGTTGGGTGTTGTGAGTCCTTGACGGCACCGCACCGGTGCTCAAGTACATGGGGGACTACCCGTCGCGGCGCGCACGCTGGGGTAACGAGCTCACGGACCAGGTGTTCGAGGCGGCGCTGCACACCGAGGCCCTCAAGGACGAGATCATCTGCCAGATTATCAAGCAGCTCACCGACAACCATGTCAAGTACGTCACGGGGACACGGGGGACAACCTTGTCAAGTACACACACGGGGACACGGGGGACAACCTTGTCAAGTACACACAGGGACACGGGGGACAACCATGTGAAGTACACACACGGGGACACGGGGACAACCTTGTCAAGTACACACACGGGGACACGGGGGACAACCTTGTCAAGTACACACAGGGACACGGGGGACAACCTTGTCAAGTACACACACGGGGACACGGGGGACAACCATGTCAAGTACACACACGGGGACACAGGGACACAACCTTGTCAAGTACACACACGGGGACACGGGGGACAACCATGTCAAGTACGTCACGGGGACACGGGGGACAACCTTGTCAAGTACACACACGGGGACACGGGGGACAACCATGTCAAGTACACACATGGGGACACGGGGACAACCATGTCAAGTACGTCACGGGGACACGGGGGACAACCTTGTCAAGTACACACACGGGGACACGGGGGGGGGGGGACACGGGGAGCACACGGAGGGACAACCAAGTTGATTACGTACAGTGGGGACGTGGGAGGTGCATGGATGGACATGGAGACTGGGGGGACATGGAGGGACACGCGGGGGTGCTTACAATGATTGCTCAATCTGAATACACCTTCTCGATTAAAGTTTTGTCTGTATTTGTATATCTGGATGGCTTCAAGAACATATCTCTGATGTTGGCCCGAGGGTTTGCAGAGCACCGTGGTCTCGGAGAAAACCAGATAGTATGGATTCCTACAGTCACCAAAGCTTCAAATCATAATTCAAATCAAGATTTTTAAAGGCTCTGAAGGACTATTTTCTAACAGCCTTTTTAAAAGGTTAGGGTTATTTTCTTTGATGTGCTTTTCTATGTTTTTCTTTTATCTACTCAAAGCTGCCTCTAGGTACAAGTAGACTATAAAATACTACCACTTGATTGTATTTTCCAACAACAGTATTTGAAGGGTGTTGCCATTATTAATATATATTAATTCAATTATTATTTAATAAGTATGGAGATATGCTATAAATATATTCATATAAATAGCATACTAGTTCCAAAATATGGACCACAAACGTTGGAATCGTGGTGCTTCCAAAAGGAAATCCTAAAAAGAAAAGGAGGCAAGAGGGGCAGTTTAGCTTCAAAGTGTTCCACTCATTGCCAACTTCTTTCAAAAACCCTCCGATAGTAATCACGATGACAGCAGCAGCACCATTGTCGGCTGTGAGGAAGGGACTCGCACTAGTTCAGTTTCCAGTAATGTTGTCACTCCCCCAGAGCCATCCTTTGAAGGCGAACCCTCAACAGTTCATGGTACACAGGAACCGTCATTTACAACTCAGGAACAGTTGGGCAGTTCACAAGAATCAAATCAGCAACCAAAGCCATTCCTGGTGCTATGAGGTCACCGACCCTGCATTATGGCAAAGCACTTCCAGTGACATTGTTAAGTCCGTGCTTATTGAAAGAGGAGCAGTCCCTTTCCAAAACCGCAGTGAACAATACCCAGCGTCAGTCCGAGATAGAGCGCTTGGGGGAAAGTCGAGAAGTTTCAACAATGAACTGTATATTGCCAAATGGGCAGAAGGTTTCTCGACAGTGGCTACTGTACTCACCCTCAATAGGTTGTGTGCACTGTTCTGCATGTAAACTGTTCTCCAGCAAGCTCGGTGGCTTTAGTCAGGGGTTTAATGACTAGACACTCTGAAAGAATAGGGGAACACGCAAAGCGTGCAGAACAGAGATCATGCATGCTTGCCTTGCACCAGCGGGATAAAGGGCAGTGCTATAGATGCAGATCTCATGCAGCAACTTGATGGGGAACGTAAATACTGGAGGGACATTTTGAAAAGAGTTGTTGTAGCAGTGATCAAGTTCTTGGGTGAAAGAGGACTTGCGTTTATGGGAGATGATGAACGGTTTGGGTCAACCCATAACGGTTATTTCCTTGGCATCCTAGAATTGCTGTCACAATTTGACCCATTCTTAGCTGAACATATTAAAAAGTTTGGCGGAGAAGAAAGAGGCACAGTTTCCTATTTGTCATCGACTGTGTGAATAACTCATTGACCTAATGGGTCAGAAAACTCGCCAAACAATAGCAGATGAGATTCTGGATGCCAAATATGTTTCATTTATTGTTGACTTCACCCCAGACCTGTTACACATGTGGACCAATTGACGTTCATATTCCGATTTGTTAACAGCAGCGGGAATGTGGTGGAGCGATTCCTGGGCTTTGAGCTAAATTAAGAGCCACACCGGTAAAAGTTTAGCAGACTGTGTGACTTTAATGGTGGAGGGCCTGAGATTGGACCTCTCAAACTGTAGAGCTCAGTCATATGTCAATGCCAGCAACATGTCAGGAAAATACAATGGGCTTCAGGCCCACCTGCCTTGCACAGCGCATTCACTTAACTTAGTTGGTGTTAACACCTTAGACCACAGTTGCCCAGAGGCTGATGAGTTTTTTTTATCATGTTGCAGTCACTGTACACAATTTGCTCTTCATCCACACACATATGGGGGAAAGTCTTTCGGAAGACAGATGTCAGACTGGCATTAAAATCGCTGTCCAGTACTCGGTGGAGTGCTCGTGCAGAGTGAACCAAGGCACTGTGGAGAAATTACACCCAAATTAGAGAGACCTTGGGTGGTATGTGCAATGATGGTAATGAGAAAAGAGACGCTGTGATTGAGGCCGCTGGACTGTTTGCTAAATTGTACACCTTAGAGATAGTGTTCATGGCACATTTCTGGGACGTCAAACTTGACCGGTTCCACGCTACAAGCATGCACCTACAGAAAAGTGACATTGACATCTCTGTAGGAGCACAGCCTTTGTCTTCGTTGAGGGATTTTGTTGCAGGACAGCGAGACCAGTTTGAGGCTTTTGAAAGGGCAGCCTTAAATGTGACCGGTGTCTCTCAGTCATATAAGCACGATCTTCAGCGAAAGAGGAAACACAAAACATTTGCAGATGAGAGCTCAGAGCCAGGTGTGACACTTGAGGGGAGGGAGAAGTTCAACATAGAAACATTTCATGTGGTCATTGATAAGCTAGTGGCATGCCTTGAACATCGCTTGGACGCTTACAAGCGTGTGACCAGTCTCTTTGGAGTTCTGTTGATGTCAGATCAGGTGTCTAACAGCGATGTCATAGTGCAAAAGGTAAATTCACTCTCCGCTGCATATCCATCAGACCTGGACATGAACTTTGCCTACGAACTCATCCAATTCAAGTCTTTCATGTCTTACTCTGAGGGTGAGAAGTGCCCAACTAAATTGCTTGAGACGTTGCAGGGCACTTAATCTGCAGTCAGTGTTCCCCAACGTTTTCGTGACACTTTGCCAGTGACAGACTGCCAGGGTGAGTGGACATTTTTCCTTGCAGGCAGAATACAAAATGAGCTGCGGAGTGTAGCGCGTTGCCAAAGACGTCTCAGCTCATTGTCACTTGTGTCAATAGAGTCAGACCTTGTCAGACAGCGATATTGTGACGGTCTAGTGGATGATTGTGACCATCTAGTGGATGATTGTGACGATTTAGTGGATGATTGTGATGATCTAGTGGATGATTGTGACGATCTAGTGGATGATTGTGACGATCTAGTGGATGATTGTGACGATCTAGTGGATGATTGTGCGAGGAGGAAGGGGGGGGGGGCTCCAAAAGACACGTGACCAGGGGCCTCACGGGACCATGATCCGGCCCTGCTGGTACCAGCGGTGTCAAGATCGGCCTCTATGGAGGAGGCTCGTGATGGACGCTACTGGGCAGTTGAAGGCAGTCGCCCTCCACAAACAGCAGAGGAGCGACGCTCACAACAACGAGCGGAGCGCCGTTTTGGCTAAAACACAGCAAGTTGGCACAGTAGTCAGTCTACCGGTGGCACCAGCGTCTGTCCCGTGACCTCCTGTCGGCGGGCGTTCGACACTCCGCGTGGCCTTAACGTGCACATAGCCTGGCACAAGCGCCGTGGTGACATCACCGCCACTTAGTGGCGGATGGCGGTCGTTGTCGTTGTTGTTGTTGTTGTGTGTGTGCGCGCGTGTCTGTGCGCATGCGTGAGCGTGCCCGTGTGTGTGTGTGTGTGTGCGTCCAGGTACAGCGAGGAGCGTGGCTGGGAGCTGCTGTGGCTGGCCCTGGGCTCCTTCCCACCCAGCAACCTGCTGCTGCCTCACGTGCAGCGCTTCCTGCAGGCGCGGCGCCACCACCCCGTTGCTCTCGACTGCACGCACCGCCTGCACAAGACGCTGCGGTGAGCTCACCCCCAGACGCTCGGGCGCACCTCCTCCTCCCCCCCCCCCCCCAAACAGTGCCACAGTGTAGCAAGATGTTAACTACCTCGCCTGGTGTGCAGGAGGTCGTGGGTTCGATCCCAACCCTGACGCCTGCTGCTGCTGTATATTTGGAGTTTTCGCGACCAATATCATCCACAATAAAGGTTTTTTGGGTTGGATCTCGTAACTATCCAACCCAAACAATCTGTATTATGGATGTATATAATGTATATTTGGAGTTTGCGTGTCTCCCTCCCCGTGGTCGCGTGGATTTTTCTCCGGGTCCTCCGTTTCCTTCCCTCTGTTTAGAATCAACGTTACGCATTTAGAGTATTTATTGGGTTTCTACTATAAATTAGTAGCAAACCAATTCTCTACCCCATAAGCCAACTTCGTTGAGCTATCATTTGTGGCCAGGACGCTTCTGAAAAAGAGGGCCTTGTCTAAAAAAAGTTGAGTGTTTTGTTTAAACGCACGAGCGCGACTGGCGGTGTACGGGCACGTGGGATTGTGGCACGTGGGATTGTGGCACGTGGGATTTTCTGGCACTGCCCCTGGCACTGCCCGTGCGTATTGTTGGATCAAACGCGTTCATGCGGTATCACGTGTGTGGTGTGTGTGTGGTGTGTGTGTGTGGTGTGTGTGTGTGTGTGATGTGTGTGGTGTGTGTGTGTGGTGTGTGTGGTGTGTGTGTGTGTGTGTGTGGTGTGTGTGGTGTGTGTGTGTGTGTGGTGTGTGTGGTGTGTGTGTGGTGTGTGTGTGTGGTGTGTGTGTGTGTGGTGTGTGCGGTGCATGTGGAGTGTGCGTTGCATACTGCGGTGTGGTGTGTGCGGTATGCGGTGCGGTGTACGTGTGGTGTGTGTGTGTTGTGTGTGTGTTGTGTGTGTGCGGTATGCGGTGCGGTGTACGTGTGGTGTGTGTGGTGTGTGTGTGTGTGTTGTGTGTGGTATGCGGTGCGGTGTACGTGTGGTGTGTGTGGTGTGTGTGTGTGCTGTGTGTGTGTGTGTTGTGTGTGTGTGCGGTATGCGGTGCGGTGTACGTGTGGTGTGTTGTGTGTGTGGTGCGGTGTCGCGCAGTAACGGCTCGCGGAAGTCCCCACCGCACGTGGTGGAGGTGGAGGCGATCCAGCACAAGACCACGCAGATCTTCCACAAGGTCTACTTCCCTGACGACACGGACGAGGTGGACTTGCTCACTCGCTCACTCACTCACACGCTCACCCGCCCACTCACTCGCTCACTCACTCGCTCACTCAAACGCTCACTCACACACTCACTCGCCCACACGCTCGCTCACTCATTCGCTAACTTACTCGCACTGTCACCCACTCGCTCGCTCACTCGCTCACTCATTCGCTCACTCACACACTCACTCGCCCACACACTTGCACACTCACTCGCTCACACGCTCATTCACCCACATGCTCGCACACTCACTCGCTCACTCACACGCTCACACACTTACTTACTCACTCACCCACACGATCACTCACTCACATGCTCACTCATGCACTCGCTTGCTCACTTACACACGTGCATGTGCGCGTGTGTGTGCATTCGTGCGTGTGTGTGCATTTGTGCGTGTTTGTGTGTATTCATGCGTGTGTGCATGCACGTGTGTACGTGCGTGCGTGTGTGGATTCGTGCGTGCGTGTGTGGATTCGTTTATGTGTGCATGCACGTGTGTACGTGCGTGTTTGTGTGTGTGGGAGGAGGGAGCGGTGGTGTAGTGGTTAGCGCTACGCTGCACTATGAACCTGGCAATCCGAGTTCAATTCCCACTCACGGCCACCAACACCCAGTGACGATTATCTGAACCGGTCCTGGGCCTACCCTAGGTCGACTCGGCCTCATATGAGTACCTGGTGCGGTGTGTAAACATTGTCACTGGGGAGACAAAGGCGGTCGGGCGTGGTGCTGGCCACCCACCCCCTCGTGTACCGTTCCGGCCTTCATAGGTGCTCGCTAACAGCACTTGCCCCTTCAGTCTGTTAAGGCTATATGGGGGATCTTTGTTTGTGTGTGTATGTGTGTGTATGTGTGTGTATGTGTGTGTATGTGTGTGTGTGTGTATGTGAGGTCTGGGAAGCTGTAAGCCCCAGGCTACTTTGGGCTCGCCTTCCCATCATCCGGAGGCAAGGAGTGGTGGTCGTGGTTACTTATGCCCCCACCGAAGATGAACATCCGTGGAGGGATGCAGGCAAAGCCGATGAGTCAGATGCCTTCTATGACCTCCTGTCACAGGTGCTGGCTAAAGTGGCCCCTCGGGATAGAGTCATCTTGTTGGGTGACTTCAATGCCCCAGTTGGTCATGATGCTGGCACCTGGTCTGGAGTGATTGGAGGGCATGGGCCAGATCAGCTCAATAACAACGGTAGGAGGCTGCTAGATTTTTGTGCAGCCCATGGGCTTGTAATCACCAACACGCTGTTCCGGCATCAGCGCATCCACACAACATCATGGATGCATGCCGGGTCCAAGCAAGAACATCAGCTGGACTACATAGTGACGGACCAGCGGATGCGAGCCCATGTCCTTGACACCAGGACCTACCGTGGAGCTGATCTGCCCTCTGACCATCGACTAGTCATCTGTAAGATGCGCCTGCCATTCTTCCACTCCGGTGGTGGGTGTACACCCAGGACCCCATTCCAACCTAAAGTGGCCTGGTCTCAGTTATCTGATGAAAGTTGCAAGTGAGAATTTCATCATCGCTTGCGGCTGGGGTTGGCATCGTCCCCCACTCCTCCTGACGTCGAGGGTAAATGGGCGAGGTTTAGGACTGTCACTCACGCAGCTGCATTGGCTGCTTTGGGTACGAGGTCCAGACCTCCCCAGAGACCCTGGCTGACAGAGGAGGTGTTCAGGATGGTTGAGAAAAATCGACAGGCCCTCTGTCATCGGCTATAGAATCCCATGTCAGAGAATGAGGAGGCTTACCACAGCCTTCGCTCGGAGGTTCGGAGAACCGTGAGGCGCTGCAAGGATGGGTGGTGGTCGCGGGTTGCTGAGGAGATGGAGTCTGCCTCAGTGGCCCGCGATCACAAATCTCTATTTAACTCCATCAAAAAAGTAACCTGCAGCACCACACCTATTACCATCATTAGGGGAAAAAACGGTGATCCAATCTCCGACCCCCAGGAACAGGTTTGCAGATTTGCTGAGCATTTCTGTGAGGTCCTGGGGGAGGAAAAATCCCTCAGCCAGGAAAACATCACGGCACAAAGTGAGGATGACCCTGCTGAGGCTGCGGTGCCTCAAATATTGGAAGAAATCACCCCCTGTGAGTGGCTGGCTGAAGTGCCATCTGTTGAGGAAGTACTGAAGGCGATCCGGAGTCTGAGACCAGGAAAGGCAGCGGGCAGAGATGATCTCCCAAGCAAAATGCTGAGGGAGGGTGGCGTTTGTGCACAGACTGCCCTACATGACATCATAACAACAGTCTGGACCACTGGACGGGTTCCGCAGGATTGGAAGGATGCCCTGGTGGTCCCCCTCTTTAAGAAGGGGGACTGTACAGACTGTAACAACTACAGAGGCATCTCACTCCTCAGTGTGCCGGGAAAGGTCCTGGCAAGGATTATTCAACATCGCCTTGCCAGGCACGCTGAGGTTTCAGGAAAGGGCGGTCCTGCACAGATGCCATATTTTCTGTCCGTCTGCTACAGCAGAGGTGTAGGGAATTCCGACAAGACCTACATCTCTGCTTTATTGACCTGGTCAAGGCCTATGATACCATCAGTAGGCCTGGGCTCTGGGTTGTTCTTCGTGCTTTTGGAGTACCTGACCCTCTGCTCAGGATCATTAAGGACCTTCATGATGGTGAGCAGGCCCGGGTAAAACGACGTGGCCGGGAGTCAGAGCCATTCCCTGTACACCTTGGGGTGCGACAGGGATGTCCTTTGGCTCCCACATTATTTAACATCTATTTTGACCACGTAGTTCGTGGAGCCTTCAACAGCTGTACCGGGGGAATCTCCATATGGTACAGATATAATGGGAGGCTGATCAATGCCTGGGTGCGGTCAAGGGATGGCTCCCTATTGTTCAACCACGTTATGTATGCCGATGATTTGGTAATAGCTGCTCATTCAGAGGAGGAGTTGGAGACGCTGCTGCCCCACCAAAACTAAGCACCTGCCTGGGTATTTTGTACCATCGGACACTCGACCCCCACAACTCCCAATCGGTGATGGAGCAGTTGTGGAGAGAGTGGAGAGTTTCCCATACCTGGGCAGTGTGCTTATGACCGGCTCCAGTTTAACAGCAGAGGTCTCACTCCGAATCAGTCGAGCGGCAATATCTTTTCATCGGTTGCGTAATGCTGTGTGGAAGCTACCTGGTCTGTCGCTCCGCACTAAGCTTCAGGTCTTCTCGGCCACGGTCTTTCCCTCCCTTCTCTATGCTTGCGAAACGTGGACCCCCTTAATGGAGCATCTTCGTCGGTTGGAAACATTTAGGCTGGTCTGCCTACGATCCATCCTGGGTTTAACCAGGCTGGATTATGTTAGGAGCTCAAAAATCCTTGAAAGATATGGGCAAGGTCCCATCGGTGAGCTCCTCCGGCAGGCAAGGCTGCGTTGGCTGGGTCATGTAGCCCGCATGCCCAGCCACCGCATGCCGAAACAGCTTTTGTTCGGCCGGATCGAGGGGGCTAAACGGGCGCGGCATGGGCTAGAGAAGAGATGGAGTGATGTGGTACAGGAGGACGTGGAGCTGAGTGGACTTGCCAATGACTGGTACCAGCGGTGTCAAGATCGGCCTCTGTGGAGGAGGCTCGTGAAGGACGCTATTGGGCAGTTGGAGGCAGTCGCCCTCCAACAACAACGGAGGGCGGAGGAGCGACGCTCACAACAACGAGCGGAGCGCCGGGTGGCTAAAGAACAGCTGGTTGGCACAGTAGGGGGCACAGATGGTGCACCAGCCAGTCATCTCAGTCATCTCAGTCAGTCGACCCGTGGCACCTGGGTCTGCCCCGTGAACTCCTGCCAGCGGGTGTTCGACACGTCACGTGGCCTCAAGGTGCACATGGCCTGGCACAAGCATCATGGTGACGTCACCGCCACTTAGTGGCGAATGGCGGTTGCTGTTGTTGTGTATGTGTGTGTATGTATGTTTATGTGTGTATGTGTGTGTGTGTATGTATGTATGTGTGTATGTGTGTGTATGTGTGTACAGTCTGTTAAGGCTATATGGGGGATCATTGTCATTGTGTACAGGCATTTGAAGTAGAGTCGTGTACGCGTGCCAAGGACTTCTGTGGGAGCATCGCAGCACGGCTGCACCTCAAGAGCGCCGAGGGATTCAGCCTCTTCGTCAAGATCGCAGACAAGGTCCCCTTCTACCACCGCAGGGGTCCCCCATCACCACACGGGTCCCCCTACCATAGGGGTCCCTCCCCACAGGGCTTCTTCTCTACAGGGGTCCCTCTCTCTGCGAGTCCCTCTATGAGTCTCTCTTTCTCTCAATGTTTCTCTCTGTAGGTGTCTCTCTCAAGGGTTCTTTCTCTGTTGGTCCTTATCTCTCTCGCTCTATAGGGGACGGTATGGAAGGCGCATCTTACATGGCAAGCAGTCAGTTTCAGTTTCATTTATTTTGTATAGCCCTGTGAGCCATTCGTCTCTTGAATCGGGTGCAACCACAACAAAAAAAAAAACACGAACAAGAAAACATCTTAAAGTGACTATGTGACTGTGCAAACAGAAAATATTCCTGAAAAAGCACCATACACCAACGCTGTGTGCAAAAATCCCAATGGGATGCAAGTCAAACAACAACAACAACCACAAGACAACTTAGATTAAGGCCATCAGTCTAACTCCGTACTACAACAAACAAACATGGCCAAACCAAAAAACTTTTCGAAATCACCAAAGTAGGAAGATCAGCTCCACGGTAGGTCTGCTGTCAAAGGCATGGGCCCATAGTCGCACTGCCTTAACCACACACATACGGACATGGTTTGATCGTATCTCTGAAAGTTCGTAAGTCGAATGTTCGTAATTAGAGGAGTCCGTGTAATTCAGCAGATGTCCTTGCTTGGACCCGGCGTGCATCCATGATGTGGTGTGAATGCGCCGACGCTGGAACAGCGTGTTGGTGATTACATTCCCATGGGCTGCACAGAAGTCTTGCAGGCCCCGCCTACCGTTGTTATTGAGCCTTACCCTGCTGATGAGACACTCAATGTGGAAACTCCTGCATACGAGCCGGCAGCAGCTGTGCGAACCTTCATCCAGCAGTGGGTGGACCATGGCTGCTGAGGCTGATGATGGTGTTGTGTGTGCTTTCTCTGTCTCCGTGCCATCTCCGCACTGCAGGTGATCAGCGTGCCGGAGGGAGATTTCTTCTTCGACTTCGTCAGACACCTAACGGACTGGATCCGCAAGACACGGCCCAGCAAGGAGGGTGGGTGTGCACCATGACCTCCCACCCTGACCCCACTCTGACCCCGCTCTGACCCCGCTCTGACCCCACTCTGACCCCGCTCTGACACTACTCTGACCCCACTTGACACTACTCTGACCCCACTCTGACCCCGCTCTGACACTACTCTGACCCCGCTCTGACCCCACTCTGACCCCGCGCTGACCCCACTCTGACCCCACTCTGACACTACTCTGACCCCACTCTGACCCCGCTCTGACCCCACTGACCCCGCTATAACACTACTCTGACCCCACTCTGACCCTACCTGACCCTACCCTGACCCCACTCTGACCCCACTCTGATCCTACCCCGAGCCATGTTGACCACAACCTGACCTCAACCTGACCTCTACCTGACCCCACCCCAACCCACAATGACCTCACCGTGACTCTACCCTGACCCCTTCCTTGCTCCAACCTGCCTCCAACCTGACTCCACCTCAATCCACATTGATCTGACCCTGACCCCACCTTGACCCTACCATGACCGCACTCTGTGTGCTAGGTGTGTGCTAGGTGTGTGCTAGGTGTGTGCTGCGTGTGTGCTGCATGTGTGAGCGCTGTGTGTGCACTGCGTGTGCATTAACATGCTTGTACTGTGTGTGTACTGTGTGTCTGTGTACTGTGTCTGTGTACTGTCTGTTTACTGTGTGTGTACTGTGGATGCATGTGAATGCGTATGAGGAAGCCACTGGAACTACCGTATTTTCCCGCATATAGTCCGCATATAACCCGCAGACGCATATACCCCGCAAAAATAGCGTTTTGTGTAAAACAAATTCCAGAAACCCGCACCTCCATACTATACCCCGCATGCATTCCTATCTTTAACGTCGTTACCGCAGCTTAATTCCATCATATTAATACAAAGTTTACATTTGTAATACATTCCACTATCAATTATTAACATTAAAATCATAACGTGCACAAAGCAAACAAACTCACCGGAAACGAGTGAACTTAACAGTAAATAAGTAACAAAAGTAAATATCCAATAAATAAGAAACACATAACTGGTAGATACATAAGTAAACGTACTGTTAGGCTTACCAGCATTCGACCTCATCATATTACAGCTACTGGACCGGTAATTACCCCTGTACAGTTTTAGCACTGGTAGATTGCGCACTGTGCAGACAATAGCGGCACTACGGTAACGCCATTGCCTCCTGGCAACAAAGCCATTGGAAGTTTGAAACAAAAGCTCACGGTCGCGACTGTATAGTGCTCAGCCAATAGCAGCGGCCTAAGGCACTCGGCAATTATGATTCCGCGTCTGGTAGACGCTTGTTAAGGCCCTTCCCATTGTGCAATCCGTAGCCTCAGCTGAAACTTTCGCACCCCCCTACAGCCACTGAAAGTATTACGGTAAACAAAGTGCGCCCACTTTAAACATTGTCGTTTCATTGTACAAACAATTCGAATAATTTAAAACGTGATATGTGCAATTTTAGTTTTAGTGGTTTATTCAGTAGTGCTTTAGTCAAAGGTAAGTGTTGCATAGTGGATAGTCCTACTATGAAAACATTAAACGAGTTATGATATGTCACACATGTACAATATTTTTGGGATAGCCCGCACCTCCATATACCCCGCAGGGTCTTGTTTTGTTTGTAAAACGTGGTATACCCCGCGGGTTATATGCGGGAAAATAGGGTATGAGGAAGCCACTGGAGCTATGTACTTTAAAATCATCATCGAGATTGTAAAATAATTTCTTTAGAACTGATTTTTGGTGTGTTTAGTTTGTTGTTGTCCTTCCCCCACACCTCCGATTAGCACGGTTAGCTACGTACAGTGGGAAAGAAGTTCAACTTACAGTACATACACGTGAATGGGTGCGCTGTGTGTGTAGGGTGCGCTGTGTGTGTGTACCCTGTATGTACTGCGTGTGTGTGCTGCGTGTGTGTGCTATATGTGTACTGTGTGTGTGCTGCGTGTGTACTGTGTGTGTGCTGCATGTGTGCTGTGTGTGTGATGTGTGTGTGCTGTGCGAGTAATGTGTGCTGCGTGTGTACCGCGTGTGTGCTGCGTGAGTGTTGTTGTGCTGCATGTGTGCTGTGTGTGTGATGTGCGTGTGATGTGTGCTGTGTACCGCGGGTGTGCTGCATGAGTGCTGTGTGTGTGTGTACCGTGTGTGTACTGCGTGGGTGCTGTGTGTGTGATGTGTGTGCGCTGTGCGAGTAATGTGTGCTGCGTGTGTACCGCGTGTGTGCTGCGTGAGTGCTGTGTGTGTACTGTGTGTGTGATGTGCGTGTGATGTGTGCTGTGTACTGTGTGTGTACCGCGTGTGTGCTGCGTGAGTGCTGTGTGTGTGATGTGTGTGTACCGTGTGTGTACTGCGTGGGTGCTGTGTGTGTGATGTGTGTGCGCTGTGCGAGTAATGTGTGCTGCGTGTGTACCGCGTGTGTGCTGCGTGAGTGCTGTGTGTGTACTGTGTGTGTGATGTGCGTGTGATGTGTGCTGTGTACTGTGTGCTGTGTACTGTGTGTGTACCGCGTGTGTGCTGCGTGAGTGCTGTGTGTGTGATGTGTGTGTACCGTGTGTGTACTGCGTGAGTGCTGTGTGTGTGATGTGTGTGCGCTGTGCGAGTAATGTGTGCTGCGTGTGTACCGCGTGTGTGCTGCGTGAGTGCTGTGTGTGTGTGTACTGTGTGTGTGATGTGCGTGTGATGTGCGTGTGATGTGTGTGTGTACTGTGTGTGTGCTGCGTGAGTGCTGAGTGTGTGTGTACCGTGTATGTGTAGTAACGTATAGGGTGTCACGACGGTGTTAGCGCCAGGCACTGTCACAAGAGTGCTACTGTCCGTCTGGAACGTCTCTCTGGGGCCAGAGTGAGTACGGCATGCGAACGGGCTCTAGGGGGCATAGTTCACCCAGACTACCAGTACATGGTAGTCTGGGTGAACCCGACAGAGCACGTGACCGGGTAGTGAGAGGGGCCTGAGGGGGGCTTGAGGGACACGTGCTGCTCGGTTGAGATCCTTCGGGAAAGGTCTCGAAGGGGGCGTGGTCGAGGGCGGAGCGAGGCCACGCCCAGGGGCATAAAGGGGCGGGCCCCAGAGCGTGCGTGGCTGTTCTCTGGAATGAACCCTCGGCGCCACGTCTCTCCGATCTTCGGTCTCCGCTCGGCATCGTGGGTCAGTCACGATGTTACTGACTGACCCGGTGATGTAGTTACCCTGTTGAGGCCTAGACTGTGTACGTTGATGTAGTTAGCCCCGTTGGGGCTGTGTAATAAAACGTGTTGCCTCCAAGTCAAGTGTGTGCCCTCCGTGTTCAACACTACACATGTACTGTATGTGTGTTGCGTGTGTGCTGCGTGTGTGCTGTGCGTGTGTGCGTGTGTGCTGCGCGTGTGTGCTCCCTGGCAGGCGTGACGCCCTCCCTCTCCTATCAGATTTTCTTCATGAGGAAGCTCTGGACCAATGCCGTCCCTGGCAAAGACCACATGGCTGACTCCATCTTTCACTTCCACCAGGTGAGCTTCTGCGTTGGTGTGTGTGTGCAGTGTGTATGTAATGCGTGTGTGTGTGTGCAGTGTGTATGTAATGCGTGTGTGTGTGTGCAGTGTGTATGTAATGCGTGTGTATGTGCAGGGAGTGTGTGTGTGCAGTGTGTATGTAATGCGTATGTGTGTGTGCAGTGTGTATGTAATGCGTGTGATGTGTGCAGTGTGTATGTAATGCGTGTGTGTGTGTGTGCAGTGTGTATGTAATGCGTGTGTGTGTGCAGTGTGTATGAAATGCGTGTGTGTGTGCAGGGAGTGTGTGTGTGTGTGTGTGCATGAGGGGTGTTGTAGCGGTTAGTGCACTGTGCTACGAACCCGGCGACCCGAGTTTGATTCCCGCTCACGACCAACACCAGTGACATTTATCTGAACCGGTACTGGGCCTCCCCTAGGTCGACTCAATGAGTACCTGGTGCGGTGTGTGAACATCACCACTGGGGAGACAAAGGCGGTCGGGCGTGGTGTTGGCCACCCACTCCGTCGTGTGCCATGCCAGCCTTCATAGGTGCTCGCTAACAGCACTTGACCCTACAGTCTGTTAAGGCTATTCGAGGAGTCTTTGCCTTTGTGTGCGTGAGCACACTCACACTCACACACTCACAAACACACACTCACAAACACACACTCACACACTTACACAAACACTCACAAACACACACTCACACACACACAACAACAACAACAACCGCCATTCTCCACTAAGTGGCGGTGACGTCACCACGACGCTTGTGCCAGGCTATGTGCACCCTGAGGCCACGTGGAGTGTCGAACGCCCGCTGGCAGGAGGTCACGAGGCAGACCCAGGTGCCACGGGTCGACTGACTGAGATAACTGGCTGATGCACCACCTGTGCCCCCTACTGTGCCAACCCACTGTGCTTCAGCCACCCGGCGCTCCGCTCGTTGTTGTGAGCGTCGCTCCTCCACCCTCCGTTGTTGTTGGAGGGCGACTGCCTCCAACTGCCCAGTAGCGTCCTTCACAAGCCTCCTCCACAGAGGCCGATCTTGACACTGCTGGTACCAGTCATCGGCAAGTCCACTCAGCTCCACGTCCTCCTGTAGCACATCACTCCATCTCTTCTCTAGCCCGTGCCGCGCCCGTTTAGCCCCCTCGATCCGGCCGAACAAAAGCTGTTTTGGCATGCGGTGGCTGGGCATGCGGGCTACATGACCCAGCCAATGCAGCCTTGCCTGCCGGAGGAGCTCAGCGATGGGACCGTGCCCAGATCTTTCAAGGATTTGTGAGCTCCTCACACAATCCAGCCTGGTTAAACCCAGGATGGATCGTAGGCAGGCCAGCCTAAATGTTTCTAACTGGCGAAGATGTTCCATTAAGGGGGTCCACGTTTCGCAAGCGTAGAGAAGGGAGGGAATGACCGTGGCCGAGAAGACCTGAAGCTTAGTGCGGAGCGACAGACCAGGTTGCTTCCACACAGCGTTACGCAACCGATGAAAAGATATTGCCGCTCGACTGATTCGGAGTGAGACCTCTGCTGTTAAACTGGAGCCGGTCATAAGCACACTGCCCAGGTATGGGAAACTCTCCACTCTCTCCACAACTGCCCCATCACCGATTGAGAGTTGTGGGGGTGGAGTGTCCAATGGTACAAAATACCCAGGCAGGTGCTTAGTTTTGGTGGGGCTGATGGTAAGGCCCCATCTCTTAGTGGCACGCTCCAGTCTCAGCAGCAGCGTCTCCAACTCCTCCTCTGAATGAGCAGCTATTACCAAATCATCGGCATACATGACGTGGTTGAGCAATAGGGAGCCATCCCTTGACCGCACCCGGGCATCGATCAGCCTCCCATTATATCTGTACCAAATGGAGATTCCCCCGGTACAGCTATTGAAGGCTTCATGAACTACGTGGTCAAAATAGATGTTAAATAATGTGGAAGCCAGAGGACATCCCTGTCGCACCCCAAGGTGTACAGAGAATGGCTCTGACGCCCGGCCACGTAGTTTTACCCGGGCCCGCTCACCATCATGAAGGTCCTTAATGATCGTGAGCAGAAGGTCAGGTACTCAAAAGCACGAAGAACAACCCAGAGCCCAGGCCTACTGATGGTATCATAGGCCTTGACCAGGTCACTAAAGCAGAGATGTAGGTCTTGCTGGAATTCCCTACACCTCTGCTGTTGCAGACGGACAGAAAATATGGCATCTATGCAGGACCGCCCTTTCCTGAAACTGCATTGGGGCTCCGCAAGCCTCTCCTCAGCGTGCCTGGCAAGGCGATGTTGAATAATCCTCGCCAGGACCTTTCCCGGCACACTGGGGAGTGAGATGCCCCTGTAGTTGTTAAAGTCTGTGCGGTCCCCCTTCTTAAAGTGGGGGACCACCAGGGCATCCTTCCAATCCTGTAGAACCCGTCCAGTGGTCCAGACTGTTGTTATGATGTCATATAGGGCAGTCTGTGCACAAACGCCACCCTCCCTCAGCATTTCACTTGGGAGATCATCTCTTCCCGCTGCCTTTCCTGGTCTCAGACTCCAGATCGCCTTCAGTACTTCCTCAACAGATGGCACTTCAGCCAGCCACTCACAGAGGGTGACTTCTTCCAATATTTGAGGCACCGCAGCCTCAGCAGGGTCATCCTCACTTTGTGCCACGATGTTTTCCTGGCTGAGGGATTTTCCCTCCCCCAGGACCTCACATAAATGCTCAGCAAATCTGCAAACCTGTTCCTGGGGGTTGGAGATTGGATCACCGATTTTTCCCCTAATGATGGTAATAGGTATGGCACTGAAGGTTACTTTTTTGATGGAGTTAAATAGAGATTTGTGAGCGCGGGCCACTGAGGCAGACTCCATCTCCTCAGCAACCCGCGACCACCACCCATCCATGCAGCGCCTCACGGCTCTCCGAACCTCCGAGCGAAGGCTGTGATAAGCCTGCTCATTCTCTGACGTGGGATTCTGTAGCCGATGACAGTGGGCCTGTCGCTTTTTCTCAACTATCCTGAACACCTCCTCTGTCAGCCAGGGTCTCTGGGGAGGTCTGTACGGCGTACCCAAAGCAGCCAATGCAGCTGCATGAGTGACAGTCCTGAACCTCGCCCATTTACCCTCAACATCAGGAGGAGTGGGGGACGATGCCAACCCCAGTCGCAAGCGATGGTGACATTCTCGCTTGCAACTTTCATCAGATAACTGAGACCAGGCCACTTTAGGTTGGAATGGGGTCCTGGGTGTACACCCACCACCAGAGTGGAAGAATGGCAGGCACATCTTACAGATGACTAGTCGATGGTCAGAGGGCAGATCAGCTGCACGGTAGGTCCTGGTGTCAAGGACATGGGCTCGCATCCGCTGGTCCGTCACTATGTGGTCCCGCAGATATTCTTGCTTGGACCCGGCATGCATCCATGATGTTGTGTGGATGCGCCGATGCCGGAACAGCGTGTTGGTAATTACAAGCCCATGGGCTGCACAAAATCGAGCAGCCTCTTACCGTTGTTATTGAGCTGATCTGGCCCATGCCCTCCAATCACTCCAGACCAGGTGCCAGCATCATGACCAACTCGGGCATTGAAGTCACCCAACAAGATGACTCTATCCCGAGGGGCCACTTTAGCCAGCACCTGAGACAGGAGGTCATAGAAGGCATCTGAATAATCGGATTTGCCTGCATCCCTCCACGGATGTTCGTCTTCGGTGGGGGCATAAATAACCACGACCACCACTCCTCGCCTCCGGTTGATGGGAAGGCGAGCCCAAAGTAGCCTGGGGCTTACAGCTTCCCACACCTCACCGCCACGCTCCCACGCCCCCTTCATTCTTTTGTTCAAAAGAAGAGCCACACCCTCTTGTTTGGCAGTCTGCTGCCCCGAGTAGAGGACTGTCCACCCCTCATGGTGGCAGGAGCCAGAACCGGTCCACCGGACCTCCTGAATGCCACAGAGATCCAGGCGGTACCGGTCCAGCTCCCGACAGAGGAGTGGCAGCCTCTCCTCCGCAGTGAGCGTTCGAACATTCCACGTGGCCATCCGTAGTGGCTTTTCGTTGTTTCTGGAGGAGCCCCGAGGGTAGAGATTCAATCTCCTGGCTCCGCCAATTGGGGTTTGGCCAGGAGACGTCATAGACGCCTGTGCCCCCGGAGCCTCCGGCACAAGCTTATTAGTTAAATTTTGTATTCGTAGTTTAGTGGTAATTAATTTAAGGTGGAGGGGTTACCAGCCCCTCGCACCCGTCCAGAGCCCCCGTTTAGCCCCTGTGGTGGTCACAGATGCCATGAGGGGGGAGCCAATCTGAATTGGAAACCTCCCCCCACAGCACTGTCCACGACAGAGTTGCCCGTGCGGAACCGCGAGGAGGTAGGGGGTTGTTTTTCCGGACTCGCACACACACATGCACGCACACACCGGACCGCCTTCAGCACTTCCTCAACAGATGGCACTTCAGCCAGCCACTCACAGGGGGTGGCATCAGTATTTGAGGGACCGCAGCCTCAGCAGGATCATCCTCACTTTGTGCCACGATCTTTTCCTGGCTGAGGGATTTTCCCTCCCCCAGGACCTCACGGAAATGCTCAGCAAATCTGCAAACCTGTTCCTGGGGGTCGGAGATTGGATCACCGTTTTTTCCCCTAATGACGGTAATAGGTGTGGCGCTGCAGGTTACTTTTTTGATGGCGTTAAATAGAGATTTGTGATCGCGGGCCACTGAGGCAGACTCCATCTCCTCAGCAACCCGCGACCACCACCCATCCTTGCAGCGCCTCACGGCTCTCTGAACCTCCGAGCAAAGGCTGCGGTAGGCCTGCTCATTCTCTGACGTGGGATTCTGTAGCCGATGACAGTGGGCCTGTCGCTTTTTCTCAACCATCCTGAATACCTCCTCTGTCAGCCAGGGTCTCTGGGGAGGTCTGGACCGCGTACCCAAAGCAGCCAATGCAGCTGCATGAGTGACAGTCCTGAACCTCGCCCATTTACCCTCAACATCAGGAGGAGTGGGGGACGATGCCAACCCCAGTCGCAAGCGATGGTGACATTCTCGCTTGCAACTTTCATCAGATAACTGAGACCAGGCCACTTTAGGTTGGAATGGGGTCCTGGGTGTACACCCACCACCAGAGTGGAAGAATGGCAGGCACATCTTACAGATGACTAGTCGATGGTCAGAGGGCAGATCAGCTGCACGGTAGGTCCTGGTGTCAAGGACATGGGCTCGCATCCGCTGGTCCGTCACTATGTGGTCCCGCAGATATTCTTGCTTGGACCCGGCATGCATCCATGATGTTGTGTGGATGCGCCGATGCCGGAACAGCGTGTTGGTAATTACAAGCCCATGGGCTGCACAAAATCTAGCAGCCTCTTACCGTTATTATTGAGCTGATCTGGCCCATGCCCTCCAATCACTCCAGACCAGGTGCCAGCATCATGACCAACTCGGGCATTGAAGTCACCCAACAAGATGACTCTATCCCGAGGGGCCACTTTAGCCAGCACCTGAGACAGGAGGTCATAGAAGGCATCTGAATAATCGGATTTGCCTGCATCCCTCCACGGATGTTCGTCTTCGGTGGGGGCATAAATAACCACGACCACCACTCCTCGCCTCCGGTTGATGGGAAGGCGAGCCCAAAGTAGCCTGGGGCTTACAGCTTCCCACACCTCACCGCCACGCTCCCACGCCCCCTTCATTCTTTTGTTCAAAAGAAGAGCCACACCCTCTTGTTTGGCAGTCTGCTGCCCCGAGTAGAGGACTGTCCACCCCTCATGGTGGCAGGAGCCAGAACCGGTCCACCGGACCTCCTGAATGCCACAGAGATCCAGGCGGTACCGGTCCAGCTCCCGACAGAGGAGTGGCAGCCTCTCCTCCGCAGTGAGCGTTCGAACATTCCACGTGGCCATCCGTAGTGGCTTTTCGTTGTTTCTGGAGGAGCCCCGAGGGTAGAGATTCAATCTCCTGGCTCCGCCAATTGGGGTTTGGCCAGGAGACGTCATAGACGCCTGTGCCCCCGGAGCCTCCGGCACAAGCTTATTAGTTAAATTTTGTATTCGTAGTTTAGTGGTAATTAATTTAAGGTGGAGGGGTTACCAGCCCCTCGCACCCGTCCAGAGCCCCCGTTTAGCCCCTGTGGTGGTCACAGATGCCATGAGGGGGGAGCCAATCTGAATTGGAAACCTCCCCCCACAGCACTGTCCACGACAGAGTTGCCCGTGCGGAACCGCGAGGAGGTAGGGGGTTGTTTTTCCGGACTCGCACACACACATGCACGCACACACCGGACCGCCTTCAGCACTTCCTCAACAGATGGCACTTCAGCCAGCCACTCACAGGGGGTGGCATCAGTATTTGAGGGACCGCAGCCTCAGCAGGATCATCCTCACTTTGTGCCACGATCTTTTCCTGGCTGAGGGATTTTCCCTCCCCCAGGACCTCACGGAAATGCTCAGCAAATCTGCAAACCTGTTCCTGGGGGTCGGAGATTGGATCACCGTTTTTTCCCCTAATGACGGTAATAGGTGTGGCGCTGCAGGTTACTTTTTTGATGGCGTTAAATAGAGATTTGTGATCGCGGGCCACTGAGGCAGACTCCATCTCCTCAGCAACCCGCGACCACCACCCATCCTTGCAGCGCCTCACGGCTCTCTGAACCTCCGAGCAAAGGCTGCGGTAGGCCTGCTCATTCTCTGACGTGGGATTCTGTAGCCGATGACAGTGGGCCTGTCGCTTTTTCTCAACCATCCTGAATACCTCCTCTGTCAGCCAGGGTCTCTGGGGAGGTCTGGACCGCGTACCCAAAGCAGCCATTGCAGCTGCATGAGTCACAGTCCTAACCTCGCCCATTTACCCTCGACATCAACTCACAAACACACAAACACACACTCACACACACACACTCAACCCATGGCACCTGAGTCTCTACGGTGACCTCCTGGCACACGCACCGTGGTGACTTAGTGGCAAATGGCGGTTGTTGTTGTGTACACATACACATACACACACTTGTGTGTGTGTGTATGTGTGTGTGTGTATGTGTATATATACATATATATATACACATACACTTGTGTATATGTGATGCACGCAGCACACACGCAGCACGCACGCCACACACGCAGCACACACACGCAGCACACACACGCAGCACACACACGCAGCACACACACGCAGCACACACACGCCACACACACGCAGTACACGCATCACACGCACATCACACGCACAGCACACACATCACACGCACACACGCAGTACACGCATCACAGGCACATCACACGCACATCACACGCACACACGCACAGCACACACATCACACGCACAGCACACACATCACACGCACACACGCAGTACACGCATCACAGGCACATCACACGCACATCACACGCACACACGCACAGCACACACATCACACGCACACACGCAGTACACGCATCACAGGCACATCACACGCACATCACACGCACACACGCACAGCACACACATCACACGCACACACGCAGTACACGCATCACAGGCACATCACACGCACATCACACGCACATCACACGCACATCACACGCACATCACACGCACATCACACGCACACACACTCATCACACCTGTGTGTGTGTGTGTGCCCGTTCACGACTAGGAGCTGCCCAAGTACCTGCGTGGGTACCACAAGTGCTCGCGCGAGGAGGCGGCCCAGCTGGCGGCGTTGGTGTTCCGCGCGCGTTTCCACGACGACAAGACGCAGTACGCCAACCTGGTGAAGATGCTGCGCGAGCTGCTGCCCAGCGACCTCGTCAAGCAGCTGGCGCCCGACGAGTGGAAGCGAGTGAGGAAGGGGCGACACGCGGGCACGCACGCACACGCACGCACACGCACGCACACGCACGTACACGCGGGCACGCGCACGCACGCACACGCGGGCACGCACACGCACGTACACGCACGTACACGCGGGCACACACGCACACGCGGGCACGCACACGCACGCACACGCGGGCACACACTCGCACGCACGCACACACTCGCACGCACACACTCGCACGCACACACTCGCACGCACACACTCGCACGCACACGCACGCACACGCACGCACACGCACGTACACGCGGGCACGCACACGCACGCACACGCGGGCATGCACACGCACGTACACGCACGTACACGCGGGCACGCACACACACACACACGCATGCACATGCACAAGGACGCACGTACACGCGGGCACACACACGCACGCACGTGGGCACACACACGCATGTGGGCACACACACGCACGGACACGCACGTTAACACACGTGTATTGGTCGCCATGGTGGCTATGAGATGTTAACTACCTCGCCTGGTATGCAGGAGGTTGTGGGTTTGATCCCGACCCTGACACCTGCTGCTGCTGCTGTATATTTGGAGTTTGCGTGTCTCTTTCTCTCTCTCTCCGTGGTTGCGTGGATTATTCTCCGGGGCCTCCAGTTTTCCCTTCCACATTTATCAGCAACGTCAGCACGCGTTTCGAGTATTTGGCTGCTATACATTGCCACGTAAGAAGCCGCTTCGCTGCGCTATCATTTGTGGTCGGCAGGTCGCTTCTGACAACGTGCAGATCAGTGGGACTTAGCTGGTGAAAAAAACCGTTTTCGTTTATAGTTTATGCGCGTGTGTTAATGTGTGTTAACGTGTGTTAACTTGTGTGTTAACGTGTGTGTTAACGTGTGTGTTAACGTGTGTTAGCGTGTGTTAGCGTGTGTTAACGTGTGTGTTAACGTGTGTTAACGTGTGTTTGTTAACGTGTGTTAACGTGTGTGTTAAGGTGTGTTAACGTGTGTGTTAACGTGTGTTAACGTGTGTTAACATTTTTGTGTTAACGTGTGTGTGCGTGTGTTAACGTGTGTTAACACGTGTGTGTTAAGGTGTGTTAACGTGTGTTAACGCGTGTTAACACGTGTGTTAACGCGTGTTAACGTGTGTGTTAACGTGTGTGTTAACGTGTGTGTTAACACGTATTAACGTGTGTTAACACGTGTGTGTTAACGTGTGTTAACATGTTTGTGTTAACGCGTGTTAACGTGTGTGTGCGTGTTACGAACCCGGTGACACGAGTTCGATTCTCGCTCACGGCCAACACCAGTTACATTTATCTGAGCTGTTCCTGGGCCTACCCTAGGTTGACTCAGCCTCAAATGAGTACCTGGCGCGGTGGGGAGACAAAGGCGGTCGGGCGTGGTGCTGGCCACCCACCCCCTGGTGTGCCATGCCGGCCTTCATAGGTGCTGCTCGTTAAGAGCACTTGCCCCAACAACAGTCTGTTGAGGCTATACGGGAGATCTTTGCCTGTATCTGTGTGTGCCGTGGTGGTGCCAGGCCATCATCGCAGCCTACAACAAGCACTCGGGCAAGTCGCGGGACGAGGCCAAACTCGCTTTCCTCAAGATCACCTACAAGTGGCCCACATTCGGGTCGGCCTTCTTCGAGGTGAAGGTAAACAGACACCTCGCCCCTCCCCCTCCTCTCCAACTCCTCCCCTCCTCCCCCCATCCACCTCCTCCACCTCCTCTCTACCTCCTCTCCACCTCCTCCCCCTCCTCCCTCTCCTCCCCCTCCTCCTCTCTCCTCCTCCTTCTCCCCACCTCTCTCCCCCTCCTCCCCCTCTCCCTCCCCCTCCTCCCCCTCTCCCCCCCTCTCCCCCTTCTACCTCTCCCCCCCTCCCCTCTCCCCCTCCCCACCCTCCTCCTCCAATGACGTTTCTGCTATCTGGGTGTCTATCTGGATGATGACACGTTGATGATCCAGCAGTGGATAGACCGTGGCTGACGACGGTGGCGCCGTCGTCACGGTGGTGGTTAGGAGGAGGTGGTGGTGAGGAGGTGGTGGTGGTGAGGAGGAGGTGGTGGTGAGGAGGAGGTGTTGGTGAGGAGGTGTTGGTGAGGAAGTGTTGGTGAGGAGGAGGTGGTGGTGGTGAGGAGGAGGTGTTGGTGAGGAGGTGTTGGTGAGGAGGAGGTGGTGGTGAGGAGGTGTTGGTGAGGAGGTGTTGGTGAGGAGGTGGTGGTGAGGAGGTGGTGGTTGCCACGGTGACGCACGCTCTCCGTGTCCCCCAGCAAACGACGGAGCCCAACTACCCGGAGGTGCTGCTCATCGCCATCAACCGCAACGGGGTCGGCCTCATCCACCCTTCCAGCAAGGTGGTGGGGGGGGGTGCACGTGTGCACGCGTGTGTGTGTACTTGTGTGTGTGTGTGTGCGTGTGTGTACTTGTGTGTGTGCGTGTGTGTGTGTGCGTGTGTGTACTTGTGTGTGTACTTGTGTGTGTGTACTTGTGTGTGTACTTGTGTGTGTGTGTGCGTGTGTGTGCGTGTGCACGCGTGTGCGTGTGTGTGTACTTGTGTGTGCACGCGTGTGCGTGTGTGTGCACGCGTGTGCGTGTGTGTACTTGTGCGTGTGTGCACGCGTGTGCGTGTGTGCGTGTGTGTACTTGTGTGCGTGTGCACGCGTGTGCGTGTTTGTACTTGTGTGTGCGTGTGTGTGTACTTGTGTGCGTGTGTGTGTGTGCGTGTGTGTGTGTGTGCGTGCGTGTGTGTGTGCGTGTGTGTGTGTGTGCGTGCGTGTGTGTGCGCGTGTGTACTTATGTGTGTGCGTGTGTGTGCGTGTGTGTACTTGTGTGTGCGTGTGTGCATGTGTGTGCGTCTGTGTACTTGTGTGTGCGTGTGTGCGTGTGCGTGCGTGTGCGTGCGTGCGTGTGTGTGCGTGTGTCCGTGCGTGTGTCCGTGCGTGTGTGTGTGAGTATTGGGGAGCGGTCGTGTAGTCGTTAAGGCGCTGCGCTACGATCCCGGCGTAGTTCGATTCCCGCTCCCGGCCAAAACCGGTGACGATTATTTGAACCGGTCCTGGGCTTCCCCTAGGTCGACTCAGCCACAAATGAGTACCTGGTGTGGTGTGTAAACATCGCCACTGGAGAGACAAAGGCGGCCGGGCGTGGTGTTGGCCACCCACCCCGTGTGCCGTGTCGGCCTTCATAGGTGCTCGTGAACAGCAGTTGCCCCAAAAGTCTGTTAAGGCTACACGGGGGATCTTTGTCTTTGTGTTCGGCACGTCCCGATGTCGGTGAGGTTGTTGTGACTCCGCTGTCCGCACACTCACCCACACTCACCCGCGCTCACCCGCGCTCACCCACACTCACCCGCGCTCACCCACGCTCACCCGCGCTCACCCGAGCGTGTGTCTGCGCAGGACATCCTGGCCACCCACCCCTTCACCAAGATCTCCAACTGGAGTAGTGGCAACACATACTTCCACATGACCATCGGAAACCTGGTTCGAGGCAGCAAACTGCTGTGCGAGACTTCGCTGGTACGCTCACACACACACACTGACACACACACACGCTCACACACACACGCTCACACACACACACGCTCACACACACGCTCACACACACACGCACACTCACACACACGCTCACACACGCTCACACACACCCTCATACACCCACACGCACACACACGCACACACAGATGCTCACACACACGCTCACACACACACACGCTCACACACATGCTCACACACACACACATGCTCACACACACACACACACGCTCACACACACACTCTCATACACCCACACGCACACACACACAAAGACAAAGATACAAAGATCCCCCATATAGCCTTAACAGACTGTAGGGGCAAGTGCTGTTAGCGAGCACCTATGAAGGCCGGAACGGTACACGAGGGGGTGGGTGGCCAGCACCACGCACGACACACACACACACACGCTCACACACACACACATACACGCTCACACACACAACAACAACAACAACAACCGCCATTCACCACTAAGTGGCGGTGAGGTCACCACGACGCTTGTGCCAGGCCATGTGCACCTTGAGGCCACGTGAAGTGTCGAACGCCCGCTGGCAGGAGATCACATGGCAGACCCAGGTGCGACGGGTCGACTAACTGAGATGACTGAGATGACTGGCTGATGCACCACCTGTGCCCTCTACTGTGCCAACCTGCTGTGCCTTAGCGACCCGGCGCTCCGCTCGTTGTTGTGAGCATCGCTCCTCCGCCCTCCGTTGTTGTTGGAGGGCGACTACCTCCAACTGCCCAGTAGCGTCCTTCACGAGCCTCATCCACAGAGGCCGATCTTGACACTGCTGATACCAGTCATCGGCAAGTCCACTCAGCTCCACGTCCTCCTGTACCACATCACTCCATCTCTTCTCTAGCCCGTGCCGCGCCCGTTTAGCCCCCTCGATCCGGCCGAACAAAAGCTGTTTCGGCATGCGGTGGCTGGGCATGCGGGCTACATGACCCAGCCATCGCAGCCTTGCCCGCCGGAGGAGCTCACCGATGGGACCTTGCCCAGATCTTTCAAGGATTTGTGAGCTCCTCACACAATCCAGTCTGGTTAAACCCAGGATGGATCGTAGGCAGGCCAGCCTAAATGTTTCTAACCGGCGAAGATGTTCTATTAGGGGGGTCCACGTTTCGCAAGCGTAGAGAAGGGAGGGAATGACCGTGGCCGAGAAGACCTGAAGCTTAGTGCGGAGCGACAGACCAGGTAACTTCCAAACAGCGTTACGCAACCGATGAAAAGATATTGCTGCTCGACTGATTCGGAGTGAGACCTCTGCTGTTAAACTGGAGCCGGTCATAAGCACACTGCCCAGGTATGGGACACTCTCAACTCTCTCCACAACTGCCCCATCACCGATTGGGAGTTGTGGGGGTGGAGTGTCCGATGGTACAAAATACCCAGGCAGGTGCTTAATTTTCCTGGGGCTGATGGTAAGGCCCCATCTCTTAGTGGCACGCTGCAGTCTCAGCAGCAGCATCTCCAACTCCTCCTCTGAATGAGCAGCTATTACCAAATCATCAGCATACATAACGTGGTTGAGCAATAGGGAACCATCCCTTGACCGCACCCGGGCATCGATCAGCCTCCCATTATATCTGTACCATATGGAGATTCCCCCGGTACAGCTATTGAAGGCTTCTCGAACTACGTGGTCAAAATAGATGTTAAATAATGTGGGAGCCAGAGGACATCCCTGTCGCACCCCAAGGTGTACAGGGAATGGCTCGGACTCCCGGCCACGAAGTTTTACCCGGGCCCGCTCACCATCATGAAGGTCTTTAATGATCGTGAGCAGAAGGTCAGGTACTCCAAAAGCACGAAGAACAACCCAGAGCCCAGGCCTACTGATGGTTTCATAGGCCTTCACCAGGTCAATAAAGCAGAGATGTAGGTCTTGCTGGAATTCCCTACACCTCTGATGTAGCAGACGGACAGAAAATATGGCATCTGTGCAGGACCGCCCTTTCCTGAAACCGCATTGGGGCTCCACAAGCCTCTCCTCAGCGTGCCTGGCAAGGCGATGTTGAATAATCCTTGCCAGGACCTTTCTCGGCACACTGAGGAGTGAGATGCCCCTGTAGTTGTTACAGTCTGTGCGGTCTCCCTTCTTAAAGAGGGGGACCACCAGGGCATCCTTCCAATCCTGTGGAACCCATCCAGTGGTCCAGACTGTTGTTATGATGTCATATAGGGCAGTCTATGCACAAACGCCACTCTCCCTCAGCATTTCGCTTGGGAGATCATCTCTGCCCGCTGCCTTTCCTGGTCTCAGACTCCGGATCGCCTTCAGTACTTCCTCAACAGATGACACCTCAGCCAGCCACTAACAGGGGGTGACTTCTTCCAATATTTGAGGCACCGCAGCCTCAGCAGGGTCATCCTCACTTTGTGCCACGATGTTTTCCTGGCTGAGGGATTTTCCCTCCCCCAGGACCTCACAGAAATGCTCATCAAATCTGCAAACTTGTTCCTGGGGGTCGGAGATTGGATCACCGTTTTTTCCCCTAATGATGGTAATAGGTGTGGCACTGCAGGTTACTTTTGTTGATGGAGTTAAATAGGTATTTGTGATCGCGGGCCACTGAGGCAGACTCCATCTCCTCAGAAACCCGCGACCACCACCCATCCTTGCAGCGCCTCACGGGTTTCCGAACCTCTGAGCGAAGGCTGTGGTAAGCCTCCTCATTCTCTGACGTGGGATTCTGTAGCCGATGACAGTGGGCCTGTCGCTTTTTCTCAACCATCCTGAACACCTCTGTCAGCCAGGGTCTCTGGGGAGGTCTGGACCGCGTAGCCAAAGCAGCCATTGCAGCTGCATGAGTCACAGTCCTAAACCTCGCCCATTTACCCTCGACATCAGGAGGAGTGGGGGACGATGCCAACCCTAGACGCAAGCGATGATTAAATTTTCGCTTGCAACTTTCATCAGCTAACTGAGACCAGGCCACTTTAGGTTGGAATGGGGTCCTGGGTGTACACCCACCACCGGAGTGGAAGAATGGCAGGCACATCTTACAGATGACTAGTTGATGGTCAGAGGGCAGATCAGCTCCACGGTAGGTCCTGGTGTCAAGGACATGGGCTCGCATCTGCTGGTCCGTCACTATGTAGTCCAGCAGATGTTCTTGCTTGGACCCGGCATGCATCCATGATGTTGTGTGGATGCGCCGATGCCGGAACAGCGTGTTGGTAATTACAAGCCCATGGGCTGCACAAAAATCTGGCAGCCTCCTACCGTTGTTATTGAGCTGATCTGGCCCATGCCCTCCAATCACTCCAGACCAGGTGCCAGCATCATGACCAACTCGGGCATTGAAGTCACCCAACAAGATGACTCTATCCCGAGGGGGCACTTTATCCAGCACCTGTGACAGGAGGTCATAGAAGGCATCTGACTCATCGGCTTTTCCTGCATCCCTCCACGGATGTTCGTCTTCGGTGGGGGCATACGTAACCACGACCACCACTCCTCGCCTCCGGTTGATGGGAAGGCGAGCCCAAAGTAGCCTGGGGCTTACAGCTTCCCACACCTCACCGCCACGCTCTCACGCCCCCTTCATTCTTTTGTTCAAAAGAAGAGCCACACCCTGTTGTTTGGCAGTCTGCTGCCCCGAGTAGAGGACTGACCACCCCTCATGGTGGCAGGAGCCAGAACCGGTCCACCGGACCTCCTGAATGCCACAGAGATCCAGGCGGTACCGGTCCAGCTCCCGACAGAGGAGTGGCAGCCTCTCCTCCGCAGTGAGCATTCGAACATTCCACGTGGCCACACGAAGTGGCTTTTCGTTGTTTCTGGAGGAGCCCCGAGGGTAAAGATTCAACCTCCTGGCTCCGCCAATTGGGGTTTGGCCAGGAGACGTCATAGACGCCTGTCCCCCTGGGGCCTCCGGCACAAGCTTATTAGTTACATGTTTAATAGGTGGTTTCGTTGTAATTTATTGAAGGTGGAGGGGTTACCAGCCCCTCGCACCCGTCCAGAGCCCCCGTTTAGCCACTGTGGTGGTCACAGACGCCATGAGGGGAGAGGCCAATCGGAATTGGCCCTCCCCCCACAGCACTGTCCATGACAGAGTTGTCCGTCTGGCACTGCGAGGAGGTAGGGGGTTGTTTTGCCGCTCACACCCACACACGCACACGCTCACACACACACACACACGCTCACACGCACACGCTCACACGCACACGCTCACACACACGCTCACACATGCACACACACCCACACGCTCACACACACGCTCACACACACGCTCACACACACGCGCACACACGGCCCTCACACGCACACAGCTCTCACACACAACAAGAGCAACAACCGTCGTTTGCCACTAAGTGGCGGTGACGTTACAACAGCACGTGTGCCAGGCCAGGTGTATGTATGTTGAACTCCTTTCGCACCGTATGTAGCCAACCGTGCTAATCTGAGGTGCAAAGGTGCACTTCCAGGGCACGTGAAGTGTCAAAGGCTCGCTGATGGGATTTCACTGGACAGACCCCGGTGCCGTGGGTCGACTGACTGGCAGATGCACCACCTGTGCCCCCTACTTTGCCAACTCGCTGTATTTTAGCCACCCGGCGCTCCGCTAGTTGTTGTGAGCGTCGCTCCTCTGCCCTCCGCTGCTGTTGCTGGAGGGCGACCGCCTCCAACTGCTCAGTAGCAGCGTCCTTTGCAAGTTCTCTGCCCTCCGCTGCTGCTGCTGCTGGTACACAAACACCAACTCAAGACGTCACTAGCAATGCGTGTGTGTGTGTGTGTCTGGGCAGGGCTATAAGATGGACGACCTCCTGACCTCCTACATCAGCCAGCTGATGTCCGTGATGAGCCGCCAGAGGACGGGAGGACACGCGTCTGGCTCGGCCGGCAAGTGATTGAGGTGAGTCCCTGCACCCTGCACCAGGTACCAGGGACCAGGCACCCGGCACCAGGGACCCGGCACCAGGTACCAGGTACCCGGCACCAGGTACCAGGCACCAGGCACCAGGTACCAGGTACCAGGGACCTGGCACCAGGGACCCGGCACCAGGTACCAGGTACCAGGCACCAGGTACCAGGGACCCGGCACCAGGTACCAGGCACCAGGTACCAGGCACCAGGGACCCGGCACCAGGTACCAGGTACCAGGGACCAGGCACCAGATACCCGGCACCAGGTACCAGACACCAGGCACCAGACACCAGGCACCAGGTACCAGGTACTAGGCACCAGGTGACAGGTACCAGGCACCCGGCACCAGGGACCAGGTACCAGGGACCCGGCACCAGGTACCAGGTACCAGGCACCAGGTACCAGGCACCCGGCACCCGGCACCCGGCACCCCACACACTCTACACCACACCAGACACACTAACCCCCTCCCCCCCCCGTGTGGTGCAGGGAGTGGGGGGCGCTGCTGCAGGTTGTGCGCTGGGTTGGCTACCGCTGTGCCTGGCAGGCGCACTACCGCGCTGCCGCCTGGGCAGGGCTCCCGCACGCGTCCAGCGGGCAGGCGGGCAGAGATGCGGGGACAGGCAGTGACACGGGGACAGGCAGAGACACGGGGACAGGCAGAGATGCGGGGACAGGCAGAGACGCGGGGACAGGCAGAGACGCGGGGACAAGCAGAGACGCGGGGACAGGCAGAGACGCGGGGACAGGCAGAGACACGGGGACAGGCAGAGACACGGGGACAGGCAGAGACACGGGGGGCAGAGACACGGGGACAGGCAGAGATGAAGAGACAAGCAGAGACGCGGGGACAAGCAGAGACGCGGGGACAAGCAGAGACACGGGGACAGGCAGAGACACGGGGACAGGCAGAGACGCGGGGACAGGCAGAGACGCGGGGACAGGCAGAGACACGGGGACAGGCAGAGACGCAGGGACAAGCAGAGACACGGGGACAGGCAGAGACACGGGGACAGGCAGAGACACGGGGACAGGCAGAGACACGGGGACAGGCAGAGACACGGGGACAGGCAGAGACACGGGGACAGGCAGAGACACGGGGACAGGCAGAGACGTGGACACGGGGACAAGCAGAGACGCGGGGAAAAGCAGAGCAACTGGCACGGAGAGAGACCAGGACATGCACGCACAGAGATACGCAGACACACAAACATACAGACACACGGACATACACACGGACACACAAACATACAACCTCACCGACACACACACAGGCGCACACATCGCAGACACACACACAGACGACAGATACACAGACGGACATGCAGACAAGCAAACGTACAGACTCACAGACAGGCACAAAGACAGACTCTCAGACAGGGAAAGATACAGAAACACAGACAGACCCACAGAGAGATTCACAGAGAGACTCACAGACAGACACACGGACAGACACACAGACAGACACACAGACAGACCCACAGACAGACCCACAGACAGACCCACAGACATACACACAGACAGACTCACAGACATACACACAGACAGACCCACAGACATACACACAGACAGACTCACAGACATACACACAGACAGACTCACAGACAGACTCACAGACAGACTCACAGACAGACCCACAGACATACACACAGACAGACACACAGACATACACACAGACATACACACAGACAGACTCACAGACATACACACAGACAGACTCACAGACAGACTCACAGACAGACTCACAGACAGACTCACAGACAGACCCACAGACATACACACAGACAGACTCACAGACATACACACAGACATACACACAGACAGACTCACAGACAGACACACAGACAGACACACAGACAGACATACAGGTGGACTCAGAGGTGCAGAGGGTGACCATTGCAGCAGAGGCAGCCACGTGGGAGATGAGTGGCTAAGAGTGACTCCTCTTGAGGAAGAGAGCTCCTCCAGCTACGACGAGCACATGTGATCCTACACGAGACAGGGGAATCCTACAGGAGAGAGGGTGATCCTCCACGAGACAAGGGAATCCTACAGGAGAGAGGGTGATCCTACACGAGACAGGGGAATCCTACAGGAGAGAGGGTGATCCTACACGAGACAAGGGAATCCTACAGGAGAGAGGGTGATCCTACACGAGACAAGGGCATCCTACAGGAGAGAGGGTGATCCTACACGAGACAAGGGAATCCTACAGGAGAGAGGGTGATCCTACACGAGACAAGGGAATCCTACAGGAGAGAGGGTGATCCTACACGAGACAGGGGAATCCTACAGGAGAGAGGGTGATCCTCCACGAGACAAGGGAATCCTACAGGAGAGAGGGTGATCCTACACGAGACAGGGGAATCCTACAGGAGAGAGGGTGATCCTACACGAGACAAGGGAATCCTACAGGAGAGAGGGTGATCCTACACGAGACAAGGGCATCCTACAGGAGAGAGGGTGATCCTACACGAGACAAGGGAATCCTACAGGAGAGAGGGTGATCCTACACGAGACAAGGGAATCCTACAGGAGAGAGGGTGATCCTACACGAGACAAGGGAATCCTACAGGAGAGAGGGTGATCCTACACGAGACAAGGGAATCCTACAGGAGAGAGGGTGATCCAACACGAGACAAGGGAATCCTACAGGAGAGAGGGTGATCCTACACGAGACAAGGGAATCCTACAGGAGAGAGGGCGATCCTACACGAGACAAGGGAATCCTACAGGAGAGAGGGTGATCCTACACGAGACAAGGGAATCCTACAGGAGAGAGGGTGATCCTACACGAGACAGGGGAATCCTACAGGAGAGAGGGTGATCCTACACGAGACAGGGGAATCCTACAGGAGAGAGGGTGATCCTACACGAGACAAGAGAATCCTACAGGAGAGAGGGTGATCCTACACGAGACAAGGGCATCCTACAGGAGAGAGGGTGATCCTACACGAGACAAGGGAATCCTACAGGAGAGAGGGTGATCCTACACGAGACAAGGGAATCCTACAGGAGAGAGGGTGATCCTACACGAGACAAGGGAATCCTACAGGAGAGAGGGTGATCCTACACGAGACAAGGGGATCCTACACGAGACAAGGGAATCCTACAGGAGAGAGGGTGATCCAACACGAGACAAGGGAATCCTACAGGAGAGAGGGTGATCCTACACGAGACAAGGGAATCCTACAGGAGAGAGGGCGATCCTACATGAGACAAGGGAATCCTACAGGAGAGAGGGTGATCCTACACGAGACAAGGGAATCCTACAGGAGAGAGGGTGATCCTATACGAGACAAGGGAATCCTACAGGAGAGAGGGTGATCCTACACGAGACAAGGGAATCCTACAGGAGAGAGGGTGATCCTACACGAGACAGGGGAATCCTACAGGAGAGAGGGTGATCCTACACGAGACAAGGGAATCCTACAGGAGAGAGGGTGATCCTACACGAGACAAGGGAATCCTACAGGAGAGAGGGTGATCCTACACGAGACAGGGGAATCCTACAGGAGAGAGGGTGATCCTACACAAGACAGGGGAATCCTACAGGAGATAGGACTACCCTACAGGAGAGAGGATGACCCTACAGGAGATAGGACGACCCTACAGGAGAGAGGGTGACCCTACAGGTGACAGAGCAGGCTGAGAGACACGAAGACATACACACACCAACACACACACCAACACACACACACGTTTACATGCACACATACACCACACACACACCAACACACACACACACGTTTACATGCACACATACACCACAAACACACACGTTTACATGCACACATACACCACACACACACCAACACACACACGTTTACATGCACACATACACCACAAACACACCAACACACACGTTTACATGCACACATACACCACACACACACCAACACACACACGTTTACATGCACACATACACCACACACACACCAACACACACACCACACACACACACCAACACACACACACGTTTACATGCACACATACACCACACACCACCATACACACGTTCACACACACACACATACACCACACACCACCATACACACGTTCACACACACACATACACCACACACCACCATACACACGTTCACACACACACATACACCACACACCACCATACACACACGTTCACACACACACCACCATACACACGTTCACACACACACCACCATACACACGTTCACACACACACATACACCACACACCACACACCACCATACACACGTTCACACACACTCACATACACCACACACCACCATACACACACGTTCACACACACACCACCATACACACGTTCACACACACACATACACCACACACCACCATACACACACACACACTACACACACACACGTTTACATGCACACATACACCACACACCACCATACACACGTTCACACACACATACACACATACACCACACACCACCATACACACGTTCACACACACACATACATCACACACCACCATACACACACCACACACACACCAACACCCACACATACACACATACACCACACACCACCATACACACGTTCACACACACACCACCATACACACACACACACACCACACACCACCATACACACATACACACACATACACCACACACCACCATACACACACACATACACACACATACACCACACACCACCATACACACATACACACACACACGTTCACACACACACATACACACACACGTTCACACACACACCAGCACGTGGGAGGTGGCGCTCCGGGCCCTGCCCATTGCTCACCGCTGGGGGCGCCCTCTCAAGGTGGGGGCGGGCGAGCCAGGCCCCTTCCCCACGCCCCCCTCCCTGCAGAGGGGACCGGAGCCACAGCCGGACGGGAGCATCGGCTGGGACCCCCCCCCCCCCCCCCCCGGGACCCCCCCCGGGACCACCCCCCCCGGGACCCCCTCCCCCTGGGACCCCCCCCCCTGGGACTCGACCCCCCCCGGGACCCCCCCCCCGGGACCCCCCCCCCCCTGGGACCCCCCCCGGGACCCCCCCACCTGGGACCCCCCCCCCTGGGACCCCCCTGGATGGAGGGGGAGAGCGATGCCCTCAGAGCAGATCGCAGGAGACGCGGCTCGCAACCCACAGAGCTCAGGGGCCAAAGCGTTCCGCGCCTCTTGATGTTAGTGGAGGTGGATGTTGCTCTGTATCATACGCTTTGTGGTTTAGTGTGTGTGGGGAAGTGTATTTGTGTACGCGGTTTAATGCGTGGCGAGGTGCGTGTGGTGCCGGTGGAGGATGTGGCATGGTGTATTGTGTGTGTGTGGTGCAGCGTGTGTAACGTGATGGGTGTAATGTGTGGGGTGTTGCCTGTGTTATGGTTCGACCTGGCAAGGATTATTCAACATCGCCCCCTTGGCAGGCAGCGCGCTGAGGAGAGGCTTGCGGAGCCCCAATGTGGTTTCAGGCCGGGGTGGTCCTGCACAGACGCCATTTCTCTGTCTGTTACAGCAGAGGTGTGGGGAATTTCAACAGGACTGACATCTTTGCTTTATTGACCTGGTCCAGGCCTATGATACCATCAATAGACCAGGGCTCTGGGTTGTTCTTCGTGCGTTTGGAGTCCCTGACTATGCTCACGATCATTAATGGCCTTCATGATGATGAGCAGGCCCGGGTAAAGCTGCGTGACTGGGAGTCTTTCCTTGTTCACCTTGGGGTGCGACAGGGATGTCCTCTGGCTCCCAAAGACGATATTTAACATCTTCTTTGACTACGTAGTTCGAGAAGCATCTGCCTAGAGGCACCGGAGGAATCTCCATCTGGTACAGATACAATG